AAGGCGCACCGTCATACTTGTTGGAGGGGTCTTACGCTCAACATATTTGAGCCTACGATCATCTAGTGATTGGCGTCGAACAAAGTTGTTCGACGCCCCACAGTCAACTAGGGCTCGAAGTGACATGTTCTTTGTCACTTCGATCATCAAGGTGATGAGGGATACCTCATCACTGGGAGCGGCAACACACAGTGACTGTGTGTTGGAGCAACCTTTGTCAAGAACCCCGCGAACTCTCTTGGCGTTGCTGGATCCGTAGGGCGCTCCACCCCTACTGACCCCGACCGTTTTTTGATGGTCCACCACGTTGTTGCGATTTCGCAGCAACGTGGAACCCACGTCTCTGGCCTTTCTTGGCAGGCGAACGATCGTAACTCCCAGTGTTACGAGACACTGGGCGTGGGGAACTACACTCATAAGCGTAGTGGCCCAACTTCTGACAGCGATTGCACTTTTGCAATCGCTTGTACCCTGGCGAGCGAGGTCGCTCGCTCTCTACATAGGAGAGGTTCATTGGTTCTGGACCTCCGCCCTCCTGTCGTCTCGGTGGACGATAGGATCCCGAGTGGACGTGAGCCTGTTGAAGGCTAAAGTCCTCCTGTTCCGCTGCAGAGATCGCTTGATCCAGCGATTCTAGTTCCAAGCGGAACAGGTGGGTCTTAACAGGACCATCTGTCAGACCCTTGATGAACACAGTAACTTGCGTGTGTTCATCGATTGGGTTCAGTACGATACAGCTAACGAGGTATCGTACGTGTTGGGCGTAAGCGTGTATATCACGCTTACCCTGTTTCAAATCCAGGAGCTCAGCCCGAGCCCTGAATTTGGCGCGAGGCGGTTCAAACGTGTGTTTGAGCCGCGCCTTGAAGACATCATACGTTGGGAAAACGTATGGGTCATGCAGTTTGAGCCCTAAGGCCCAAGCTTTGGCACGTCCTGCCAAGTTCGACATGGCGAACTTGACCTTCATCGCATCGTCATCGATGCGACGAGCCTCAATGGCATCGTCGAGCTCGACGAACCATCTTAACAAGGAGTCGCTTTCGACTGACTTGTAATTGGAGACATCAATCTTCAAGGACTCGGGTCGACGTGTAATCGTCGACCCGGCAGCAACAGCACTAGCCTGCTGTTGTCTCAACAGTTCAGACTGTTAAGAACACTGCTGCATCAACAAGTCAGCTTTTTGAGCGCCTTGTTGTCTCAACAGGTCAACCTGTTGAGAACCTTGCTCCTGTAGCAAGGCGAGTTTCTTTACAACTTCGTCAAGTTCATGTTGTATGAACTTGGCGATGGTTGCATGTTGGTCTTCTCCGCTAAGAGAGAGCAACATGGCACCAAAGGCAGGGTTGCCGATGGTTTCAGCCATACGCTGAACCTCATTCCATTCGAGGTCACTCAAATGGCGGATGTCATCACCCGCTGATTCCATAGCGGATGGTGCGGTGGTCGCTGAACGGAACACAAAGTGCTACCAGGTGTAATGGGGCACCATCCGTCTATACTGATCACAGTATAGTCTACTTTCACTGATTACAATATTATGTCACGGGCTCACCCCGTTACATTCACAGAGACGGGTCGTGGGAAGGACTACTAGTGCTACCAAGTGTAAACGGGCACTTCTACGAAGTCGCCTCGTGCTACTAGCACACACCTTCAGCACAAGCGAGGAAGCGGTTAGACCGTCTTACCTTCGCGTGCGAGGGTGGTTATGCGGTTGGTCGACTGCTTAAGCAGTCGTACCACCAGTTGCCTCTCGCTTAAGCGAGAGTGCAAGGAACTTCTAAAACAAGAAGTCATCTAAGCGAGAGTGCAAGGAACTTCAAAAACAAGAAGTCTTTTTCAGCTTCTCGTGCGTGGTGCTTCGGTGTTAGCAAGTTCAAGACTGATTTATATTTAATAGAATTTAACTAAATATAAAATCTAACTACTGATTGGTTAATATGTAATGATGGGTGCCATCTCTATAGATGCGCATCCCAACGTGCGAGCTTAAATATATTTAAGCTCGCACTGACTGACGTCATTTGATGACGCCTAGTCCCAGCTGGGCGTCACAACACCTAGTGTATATCACATACGCAAGGGTGTGACACATGTTGTGTCTCGCCCGAGCGACAGGTGTTAAGTACTTACGTACCTTTAGACCTGCTCGTTAAGTATCGCATACTTAACGGGTACGTGTAGCGTTGAGCCCATTACACTGGGGGTGAGAGCGGCAAGAGAGAGGTGTGTAGAGGGAGAGGCCCGTCCGAAACTGACGGATGCCGCGGAAGCATCCGTCCAAGGCCTGAGGTATTTATCCAACCGTCGTTTTAACCCCATTACCACCTACAGGCTAGTCCTCGATTGCGCGCTTAACCTCGAGTGCGCTCGAGCACGAAGCGCGCTCGATAGAATAAAGGGCAGTCAAGTTGTACCTCGTCGATGGAGAGGAGAGTGAGCAACGGCAGGTGTGACAAATTTCTGTAGTTGGTAAAACAGCAAAGCAACGTCAGGTCACGGAAGGATAGAATGGGCTTATGGAAACTAGACCAGGTGTGGTAGTTTAGATAGTGGCAGTAAGGCAACTGAATTGATTACAAGAGGTGCCGCAAGCTTTAATGCTAGGAAATACTAGAACATATCTGCTAGACATGCCCGTGCGCACAAATTTGCTGGCCGAAGCTCATATGCCACTGGACAGAAGGTGATGATGCGAGCTTGGACGTCTTCAAAGCTTTTTATCAAACAGTGCAAACAGACGTGCGCTAGGGCTATCCAAGATGGTCTAAGAACAACCCGACGAGGTGACCGCAAACGCCGCCGTGTGGGAGCGACTTTGGCACATCCTGAAAAGCATTTGCATCACCAGCTTGTGGATACAACGCAAGCGAGTAACGTTTTAGCAAGCGGAAAAGCGACCATCGACGGCAACGTCAAGGAACTATGGGAACTTAGCATGAGGCAACTATGAGATACCCGTGTGATGCTATGTTAACGGGCGATAGCAAGATATTACCGAAGGTGACCAGCCTCGTACAACTACTGACTCGAACGAGGAACCAGCGTTGCTCATCAGGATCACAGTAGGATCTACCAGACATCCTGCAAGCACTAATGGTTAAATAGACTCGTCTGTTTCTCTCTTTTCTTTTGCTGTCTCGTTGACACGACGCAGGTTTAAACAGACAAGCCTCGTCTTTTCGGGGTGCCACTGAGACCAGTTATGACCATTTCGTGACAAGCTCCAAAAATTTCGTGCTTGGACTGTCCATCCGAGATTACCGACCGAAAGAGTAGGTGTCACGGTGTGCCAGGATAGACATGTCCGTCCATTTGGATGGCAGCCAAGCTGGACTCAGAAGCGAAACTGTTTCTGCTAGTCAGGTTGATGGGATGGAATTGCGCCGGCATTGCTGGTTTCACGTTGGGCGCACTGGGGACGCTTTTCCTTCTCGTGCTGGTTGCAACTTCATGCTTGTGTCGAAGACGGAAGACAATCGATGAGCTCGACCAGCCACATAAGGCTAGGGGCGACGGGTGATCTCCCTGTCTTCAACACTAGAGGCACCGAGCGGTTCGAGACCTCCTCCATGTCACTATCATTCGGTCCAAACAGCGAGTTCGATTCAACGTTGGGTGAAACCAGGGTGGCCCGGTTTGTGGAACGAAGAAGCGATCGCTACAATGCGCATTCCCCTGGCGATTATCATGAAGTTGTTAAGTATTGGTAACTATAATGGAATGAAGTCTACCTCGGTGCTTACCGCTAAGGGTTCGTCGCGATCAAAGTTCAGCTGTTACGAAATGTAAAAATCTTGGACAGATCAACGCCTTCCTATCGGATCAATCACCCGTGCATTGTGCGTTCCTTAAAGCGCTTGGGGCTCCAAGGAATAGATCTTGGAGCTCATGGTAGATGGTCTACGCTAGCATTTTAGGCGGCCACAAGTTTGCGACCTGAACAAAGCTCGGATTGCATCTTCAAACTACTCAGAGGTTGGCATACCTGTACGCGCTAACCCCATGGTGCTGCAGTACGACTTGAAAATGAGGAACATACCGCTCACATCTTCGTTAGATGCCAGGTGTTGGACTCGAGGGTCGTCCACAAGGGCACAGCTCCATCAGCATGACGGTGGCATCTCATGCTTTGGATGGCACCTCATGCTTTGGATGGCACCCATGGGCATGCTATGCGATCGGTACGGTGCCAGTGCCGACATTCATCGTTTGGTATGGCATTTTCCAAACTGGATTTGCACTTGCAGACAAAGTGCCGGAAGCAGTGCTGCTTGCTACAGCTTGTGACAGGAGGGACGTCAACTTCTTAGTAGTACTGGTAAGGCTCGGTCGCGTCCGCGCGAGTTTGAACTCAGCCGAGCCGCTCATGCACTTCCAGCTGCAGTTCTTCATGCTGTCGTGTGAGATGTACAGCTGTAGGAAAGACCTAGATATCCATCTTAGGCCAGATAAACATTGGTGAGACCGTCCCATCCGATTGGCACAACGATAATTTTCAAAAGCGTGATGTCCATGTAACTCACCGAAAGTGGCATCCCTTTCGACCGCTAAAGGTCGTGCGGCACTCAATGAAAACGAAAGATGTTACTGAATGATGTGGTTGTGCATAGAATACGACTTATATATCGCTGTCAACAACTCGTTGACACACTTTTCAATGTCACTTCTACCATGCTCTCAGTAGCATTGCTACCCCTTCCTAGGTTTTAGACCAGTTCAGAACGCGTGAAGCGTCTCACACACGTGTGTTTGGATAGTTTCCAAAGAAGGTCATATCGAGCATCTTGTCGTCCAACTCAACTAGCCATCTCAGTTTTGTCATCATATCCCTATTCAGCACGGCAACGGACATCGCATACGGATCTGCTGATACTTTGACAGGCACGACGCCGAGCACCTCCACCTTGGCTCTGACCTGGACAATTATATCGCCACACTCGACGGCAAGGAAACTTGTTCTGGCCACAAAATCGCCTGCGACGCCAACGTCCATGGAGACTAGCGAAGCAACAGCTAATATACCTGCCCCTGTACGTAGAACCTCAGCGACAATTGCAGTTTCGAAAGTGACTTGGACATCAGTGCCCGCTTCGCGCTCCAATTCTAGCTCTAGTTTTGAGCCAGACCCGACGTCCAAACAAGATTCGGCTGCAGCAAACGCTAATGCTTCTACGACGGTGATCATCAATGTGAGCTCCCACTCCAGTGACAGCGACGTGTCTTCTAGGGTTATACCTATGGAAAATAGCGACAGAGGTGAGTTCATGCTGAAGCGTGGAAACCCACACTTGTTAATTAGCTTACCATCATTTTCTGGTCAGGGGTGTGCATGAGTACCGTCATCGGCATCGTCGCAGGCTTTGTAGCTGCAGTACTGCTGATCATGGGGACTGCTTTCTGGTTGTACCGCCGCAAGATGCAAAAGCTGATTGTACGATCACCCTTGTTTGATGCCTACTACGACACTGTGCCAGGCAGTCTTACCGCCGGCCCAAACGTCTTCACGCCGTCGTCCGCGTTTGCGACTCGAGGCCTCACCAGTTTTTTTGACGGGACGGTGAACCTCGATAGCTCAGGGAATCTCGACTCCACACTGCGTCTTGACGGTAGCACAGGTTCGAAACAATCGACCAAACAGAGATCCAGCTTATGGGAGGACGAAGTTATCACGGCAGCACGTATCCCACTGGAAAAGATCATTCGTAAGGAGATAATTAACGAAGGCGGCCACGGAGCAGTGTACCGTGGCTTGTATCGTGGTGAGTGTGTCGCGATCAAAGTGCTTTTGCCTGAGCAAAGAAAAGATATGCGTCAGATCAATGCTTTTCTCTCCGAGATCAAGATGATGGCGAGTGTAGAGCACCCTTGCATAGTGCACTTCGTTGGCGTGGCATGGGATGCCCTCAGCGACCTCTGTGCAGTTTCAGAGTTTATGCCGGGTGGTGACTTATTCACGCTGTTACGACGCTTTGATTGTGTGGAGCATCGCGTACAAGGCTTTGACATCGATAAGGCTAAAATCGCGCTTCACTTAGCACAGGCATTGACGTATCTGCACTCTCTCGAACCCGTCGTAATCCACCGCGATCTCAAGTCAATGAACATCCTCCTGTCGGACGATTGGGAGGCCAAGCTCACCGATTTCGGCGTCTCGCGTAGGTGGACGGTAGACACCATGACGGCGGGCATTGGTACAAAACGCTGGATGGCACCAGAGGTTATGATGGGTAAACGCTACGACACCAGTGCCGACATTTTCTCGTTTGGTGTGGTACTGTCGGAATTGGACTCACATCAGCCTCCGTATGCTAGCACAATTGCCACTCTCACCTCCGAGTCAGGTGAAAAAGTGACAGAGACGGCATTGATGGAAATGGTCGTCATAGGCCGCGTCCGAGTCAATTTTTCATCAAATGCACCCGCAGCATTGGTGAATTTAGGTCACGCGTGTGTGAATTTGAACCCAAGATTACGGCCTAATGCTGGCGAAGTGCACTACCAGCTACAGAAAATTTTACGCATGTACCAGAAGTATATACTATAGTATTATCATCATCATAGACGGTTGACAACATACATGTATGACAGACAGTAACAATCCCTTAATCAGCCACCAACGTTGCATTTCTAAACAATGGGTCCCACCACTTCAACTTGTTTTATAAAAATGGACACGTTTCTAAATGTGCTCCCTACTTATTAATGTACTCATTTTCTTGCCCCAAAATCAATTCAATGGCGACCCAAGCACCTTCCGACGCCGCTACGGATTCGTCTCAATTGAAGATGTATCCCAAGCCAGTGACAATACTAATCATTGGTATGGCTGGTAGTGGTAAGACGACACTTATGCAACGTTTAAATGCCTATGGAGTCGATTCTGGCTTGCGCAATTATGTGATTAATCTGGATCCAGCCGTTCGCAAAACTGGGTACACTGCGAATGTGGATATTCGAGATACAGTAGACTATAAACAGGTCATGAAAGAGTATGAACTTGGTCCAAATGGAGCGATTATGACGTCGCTTAATTTATTTGCTACTCGTTTTGACCAAGTTATTAATCTATTGAGCAAACGTAGCAATGACCTCGAGTATGTTCTATTGACTTGCAACTAGAAATGCCTATAGCTCCATTATTAACGCTACACTTTCTTTTTAGCTATGCTATTGTAGACACCCCTGGACAAATTGAAGCTTTTACGTGGTCAGCATCGGGTCAAATCATTACGGAATCACTGGCATCGACTTTTCCGTCTGTGATTGTCTACGTTATGGATACACCACGTACTGCTAGCCCCAATACGTTCATGTCCAATATGTTGTATGCTTGTAGTATCCTCTACAAGCTAAAACTGCCTTTTGTCGTCGTGTTTAACAAGATTGACGTGCTCCGACACGACTTTGCAACTGAATGGATGACGGACTTTGAAGCTTTTCAAAAAGCATTGGATGAGGTACAGGACGACAGTTATATGGGAAGTCTTTCACGCTCACTCAGTCTTGTACTGGAAGAGTTTTACAACAATTTGACGTCGGTGGGCGTGTCTGCTGCGACTGGAGAGGGAATGCCCGAGTTTTTTGCTGCTGTCGACCAAGCTGCCAAGCAATACGAGAACGAATACCTTCCAGATCTGCTCGAACGTATCAAGCAGCAAGAAAAGAAAAAACACCAACAACAAGAAGCGACATTGTCAAATGTCCTGCAAGATATGGACATTTCGGATGACAAAGTAGTGCCTACTAACGTAGCTGGTGAGCGTACTGATCTATAATTCCATCTCAAGTTTTTTTTTCTGACTTCCCGGACGTCAAGTCTAGTCTTCTGAATCGTAATTACTTCTGTAACTTTATATTTCTATATGTCTACAATAACCCCATACTTTCTCATTACCAAGCGCAATGGAATCGCGTCTGGCATCGACGTCGACCGCTTTCTATGGGCGTCTGATCCCACAAACAACTGATGAAGAGCAAGTAGCTGCTGCATTAGCTGCTCTAGAAGCTTCAAATGACAGTGAAACACCCGCAACAATGTGTCCTCCTGCCGTCCGTACGCTACGTAATGCGGTACTACACGAGTCCCGCTTTTATCGCGTGTTGTACGAGTCGAAATTGTATTCGATCGATTTTGGCGGGGTATGCAATTCCACAATTTCTGCTGAAAAGAATGACCCGGAACTTGATGAGATGCGACGACGGGTGCCATCATTGGTTGAAAGTGATTATAAAGTTGTACGGATACAGGAATTGGCCAAATTAAATACTGGACGCACAGCATCGGCTCGAAGCAGACAGCAAATGATGCAACAAGATCGGACTGGTCGGTATAATGAATAAACAAGATTATGTCATTGTAGGAGTATATTAATTTTCACAGTTTTATGGTTTTCTCTCTACTATTGTAGCCTATAGTGTTGTCAAGATGCCGGACGAAGTGGTGGCTAGTAATGGACGATTACAGTGTCTTTTTGGAGCAATGAATGCACCGACGTGGTTTATTCGTCTGGCACACGTGGAAAATGCATTTATGATGTTATCAACAAAAGAGACAAGAAAAGTTGCAGAGTCTAATGGATTAGTGACGACAAAACAGTTTCTAGAGGTCTTGCCGGAAACTGAAAAGGAAGTCGTGACTAAGGGAAGGTTTTACTATCGAGTGCTGGTACCTATTGAGCTACGGAAGGCACCGGATCTGCTGGCACCCGTGATCTCTAGACATGCGTTTAAGAATGCAGAGGACATTATTGAATGTCACGAGACGTATCGCTGTCCACAGAGTGGGGTGACTTTTGTGAAGCTAGCATACGAAGATGGATGGCTATTTGAGACGTTAAATTCAGGGATTAAAGTGCTCGAAAGACTTGCGACCGAGCCTGATAGTGAGTACGGCCATTTCTTTTACGTGGTAAAGATCCCAGTAGGTATCCGAGTAGCACCTCATATTATGGCCCAGCGATCGGGAAAAGGCTTTAAGTTGCACTCGATTGTAGAGGCGTCACAGCGTTTTACACCGCCTGGGAGTAAGATCACATATGTTCGAGTGTGCAAGGACAAGAACTCTCGGAATGGCTGTTCAGGTAGCCATGCAGGTAGCACAGCAAGCCCAAAGTCCATGGCGCGTAAACATAGCGCTAGTGGCGGTGACAATGCTGCTATATCGCCGACAGAGGAGAATTCATTTGCTTTGTTGTCGGCACCTTCGTCATGCCATGGAGGGTGGATCTTTGAGACCACCATGGATGGGCAGGTGGTGCTAGAGCCGATGGCAGAGCCGAAGGCGCGACAAGTGGAGCGACTCTTTTATCGCGTCTTGGAGGATGTGGATGTGCTGCCTACACCGGCTGTTGGGAGAAAAGAAAGAGCGACAATTGCAGTGTCAAGTTTGTCGAACCCGTCTAGTCCTCGAAGCAAACGGAAGCGTCTAAAAGACACGTTGATTGAGTGTAGTGAAAGGCTTGTGCCTGCAGTGTCACCAGTCATGGCAGATGCCGGTGAATCTGACTTGCCAGCGATAGGTTTTGTGAAGCTACGTCACGATGTCGGGTGGATATGTGAGCGACAGGTGCAATTCCCGTACAAGCTGCTGCTGGAACAGGTTCAAGGCGATGCCGTTACGCGCGATTTACCAAAGTTCTACCGTGTGCTAGTGCCAGTGTATTTACGCTCGGCTCCAGATTTTGAGTGTCCGAGATTGCCAGGGGTAGCTCCTATGACAGCAGGTACCGTGTTCGAAAGCAGTCTCCAGTACACACCACCAGGTAGTCGCATCACGTACATCAAAGTGGCTAGTGCCTCTCAACCTACCGCAAATAGTGCATGCGATGGTTGGTTATTCCATCAAACACCCAACGGTGATCAGGTATTGGAGGCCGTGGATGAAGACCCAGAGAAGAAAAATGGCAAGTTCTTTTTCCGGGTAATTAGTGAGAAGAAGGAAGTGCTGCTTTCACCTGAGCGGACGGGCAAAGTTGTGCGTTGCCTGTCCGCGAACACAATTTTTTCGGCCGAAACAGAGTATACACTGCCACGCACACAAGAGAAATTTGTGCGACTTACGAAAAAAAAAGGATGGGTCGCACTTGACTCTCCGCGGTCCCAAACAGACAGTATGTCGAGTGCTCCATCCAGCCGCAGCATCTTCCGCATAAGTGCAAGTGGAAATGGAGGCAATGCACCTCGAACACTCATGCAGATGTCAGAAGAGCTTTATAATCTCTATGCAATGCCGCCGAGTTGGGTAAGCATCGGGCATCCGAATCGTACGTGGTTTAAAGTTCCTGACGAGAATTGTCGCACAATCCTTGCAGAGGAGATGGTGCTCCAGATGTCTGTATTCGAGTCGCGCAACATATTAGCGTCGAGTTCTCAGGGCCGTGAGAGTGTGCCTCTCTCACGGAAGGGAAAGCTCAGCCTGAATGACGGCAAGATTGTGTGGAACTGCACACTGGAAGAGATCAAGCACCCGGCCAGCGCGCTGCTGTTCACTTTCCCATGGAAACAAGTGTGGTGGATATTCGAGTTGGAGGGGTCAGGTGAGCGGCACTGTGTAGAATTACAACACGGTCTTCGCGGTGGATTCCGCTCCATTCTGATGGACGGCGAGCCGCTGCTACAGAACCGCAGCGTGAAGGGCATGTTGTGGGATTCCGGCAGCGAGTTCACTTTTACATGGAACGAGCACACCTTCAAGGTGCTCATTACACTTGAAGGTGCCTTCTTCTCGCAGTATTTGCAGTTTTTCAGCTACACACTCGTAGTCGACCAGGAGAACATTGTCCCCAGTAGACAGTAGAATCACTACGTGATTTTCGTCAAGCAAGATTGTATTCATGATGTCAGACAGAGAAGAGAGAGAGAGAGATGACGAGTGTGGGAAAGTCTCATGCTAGTTAATCGCGGACGTTATAGACATCAATGCACCGCGTCGATGGTAGTGAGTGGTATTTTCTCCTGGGTGGTTTGAGTTGATGTACCTAACTAATGTGTTACGGTTTGCTACGTGGAGTCACTGCTCCATGATTTCAATAAAGAAGTCAAGTGCCTCTTCCAGTGACGGTAATTCTAGCTGTGACGAATTGCTGGGATCGTTGACCACTACCTCGGTGATATCCTCCGGTTCGGAGCTGCTCTCATCGAGAGTGAGTTGAAATTGTACTGGACTAGTACAGGGACTGGAGCTGGAGCTGGACGGAGGGGATATCGTCACCATGGTGTTGACTTTGAGGGCGTTTACCTTGACTTTGTTGCTACCCATGCTCTTCATAAAGTCGCAGAATGTCAGAATGTCGGAGTCGATGCGGTGCTCGACCCGCGCCCACGTCTTGCGGTCTTTGCGTAGTCCACGCACTCTTCGCATGATCTTCTCGTAGTATTTCTGCGTATGGGTTTGCACTTGTCGGACGGAGCGAGTACGGACAATCGATGCGATGCACCCCCATGGACCTCTCGGATATTCCTTAATGGCAAGTAGGAAGCGGTCGTGCTCGTCTTCGGACCAAATGCCGTGTTTCATGATGGTCTAGTTGCAGTGGTTTGGTATTCCGTAGGAATCGTTTGAGATGGCGAACGCGAGTAAAGCTGGAGCAGCTTTTGACGCTTTTGAGGCGTGGACAACCAATTGAACAATGACAAGTGATCATTGCGTGATAACCTTTGAAGAACAACTTTTGCCTTCTCGTTGGCCAACTATCAAAAGCGTGATGGCAGACGAAGTGATAGATCAACTCTGGTATCATTCTAGCAGGGGCAAAACATCTAGCAAGGAGATTGATACCCAGGCACCTGGACTCAAGTTTTGTAACAAATGTTGCAAAGGTGCCACGATCGTCTTAAAGCATCGCATTGCTTTGCAACCCATGTCAAACTACTACATGGTCATTAATCTGTCAAGTCATGTCATGATCAAGCAGCTAGACAGACACCAACATGAGTTGGGCTGTAAGCAAGACGAAAACGAAAGTGGTAGCAGCAATGCACGCATATCGGTCCGATGAAAGTATTTCTTCTCTTAATGAGGTAGTCAGAGAAAAACGTCATGTCTTTGAATCACATATTCAAGTGTCCAAGTTTGGACACTTGGAGGCGTAGATCATACGATCGAGTTATTGGCAGTGGAACAAACTCAAGTCTCTACGTGAATGACACCAGCTGCACAGAGTAAATCTATCGGAACATCGACTCCTTCATCTCGTCAATCTATAGCTTGGGCTTCGATTGAGTCGATTCCTGCGATGCGAGAAATTCTCGATCGCTACTCAGCAGCAGACAACGTGCAATACACATTGACGACAGACTCGAACCTTCTTTTATAGGATGCGGATCGCATGGAAGCACATTGAGCTTTATATGGCTTGCTTTCCAGAGCTGCTTTTGGTGAAGTGTAGACATGTCGATGTGTTGACCGTCAAGCGGTTGCTTCAGTTGAAGATGTCCACATTTATAGACGGAAAACTTTACGCATGAGATCCGAATGGCGACTTAAGCACTTGGGCACATGACAAAATCGACATGGCTATTGACATTGCGAGGGTGATCATGTATTTGCACAACCATGAAGTCATTCATCGTGACATCAAGGCCCGAAACGTACTGCTTACGAAGCGATTACAGCCGAAGCTGATCGACTTTGAAACTAGTCGTCTCTGGACTCTCAGCGAGTATGTCAGCAGGGGTTCAAATACCTTATTGAACTGCATTCGAGGTGCTTAAGACTACCGAGTTCTAGCAGCTTGATGAGCTCCGAAACCGAAGGTCTTAACTCCGGATTGTACTGGAAACAAGCGTCGACAATGCGCTGGGGACATCACGTCAAAAAGACTCGGTCTCAAGGTGCCGTTCACGATGTCTCTCCGAATATGAAAAAGTTTCGTCTTCCCTCCCATTGCGCTGTGATACGAGGCTTCGCAAGTGTTTTAACTCCGACGACAGCACTCCGAATGAATAACCTTCTGCTTTGGGCTTGGCGCACAAGGCTAATAGTGCAGCTCATGCGCTTACACAACAATTGAAAAGGATAAAATCGCTTACACTAGAGACAACCACATAGAATTTAGCTCACGACTTCCATTCTCCTGGAGAATGTTCATCCGTTGAGCAGCAGTACGTCAAACCAACGCGACGACCTCGAGTCAAACAATGTTTTACATGAAAGAAATCGGATGTAGTCTGCCTGCCTTGGAGTATGTAAACCGGCGTTTCTAACACCTTGTTTTGGGTCAATTCCGGCCAAAGATTGTCCTTTGTGAATACAACGAGTGGGTTTGGCTTGCTTGGCATAGGACCCATCATGTTGACCGACAGCAGAGCAGAAGAAAACGAAGCACCACAAGTTCCGGAAAGTAAAAGAGCGGGAATGACCGATCGGCACAGCATTTTGACCTGATAAGAACCATCCACACACGAGACAAGATGAGCGACACAAAGGCTCTAGAGCCATTTATCTATAAGTCGTCCTGTGTCTCATACCTCACTCATACTGAACTGCGAACTGCCTACTACGCGATGATCGCTTACCTTAATCAAACTTGTCATCAAACTCGTCGTCAAACTCGTCGTCAAACTCGTCGTCAAACTCGTCGTCATCATCTTCAAACTCAATATCGTCTCCGTCATCGTCACCATCTCCTTCCCAGTACTGCTCACACCCAAACAAAAATATACAGCTTAAGTCTTTCCACCTTCCAATCAAGTGCCATCCACCAACACTCACCCCGTCCGTAATCAGTGCATTGTTCACATAATCCATAAACTTGTCAAGCCTCTCGGCGTTTTCTTCCGTATGCTGCTCCTGTGACAGATCCACTAATGGATCGTACGTCTATTGTCATATAAAATCACACAGTTATTACCCTCCTCTCTCTTCTCTCTCTCTCTCTCTCTCTTCTCTCTACTCTCTCACCTTTGGAGAAAAGTCCACTTGATTTACTCGGCCAAAGTCAATCAGTTCCACTACATCTTCGTATCTTTCTTGATGCATCATTGCAATTAAAATCGTCCCAAACGTTTCCTCTGTCGGTCGTACATCATGTTGTTTCATGACATTCTTTAAAATGTCCACAGCTTCGTCCACTTGATGTGCATCCACAAGCATTTTCAATAGAGCGTCCACTACTAAAAGGTCCACCAGAATGTCCTTCTCTTGAACTGCTTGAAACAGCAGAAGAGCGTCCTTTAGTCGACGCTGCTGGAGACACGCGTCCAGCGTGTAAATGGCCGCTACTTGCGTTGTATCGTCCGTTTGAAAGCTCCGATTGGTCAGTAATTGCTGTAGTATCTGTACTGCCTTGGGTGTCTCATGTGGCTGTCCACGTTTGGATACAAGCAGCGCTAATTGCTGCAGTAGTTGTGGGTCTTGTATCACACTTTCTTGTTGCAACTTGTCAAAGGCCGCTAGCGCCCGTGAAGGCTCGGAACGAGCTATACTTTTTTGTAGCACTAGCTTGATGTCTTTTGAAGCTACTGGCAATATATGGGGTAATGAAGAGGTCGCTAGACGCCGTAGGAGCACATGCCGCAACGTGCCTGGGCTTCTGAGCATGGTGGTCATTAATGACAGGTAGTGAAGCGGACAAAGTAACAATATGAAGTAACAAGGCAACATCTGATTGCAGTCTAAAGTTGCTCTATACAACCATCTGTCAATTGATTACCCACTGTCCTCGTTCGTCATCTCGAACCTTAGTCGCCATCTGTTTCATGTACACCACTTCAACACCGCTGAACGGTCTCAATTCGCAATCTTCCACGCAATTCGGACACGACGAACATGGCTACATTATCTTCCATGACCCTACGCCATGTTTTAATCTTTCATCGTCATGGCGATCGAACGCCTGTTCTGACTTGCATTGGCACAAAAGCATCACCAACACAAGAAGAAACGAATTTTTGGGCTTCTAAAGTAGCGACTTCCGACAAGTTAAACCTATTGCTACAAACAGCTCAACCTGTTGGTGCTGATCGTTCCAAGTCTCCAGTCATTCGACCGTCCAAGGAATCACGATATCCATATGGAATTTTGACTCACAAGGGCGTCCAGGACATGATGAGGAAAGGACGTACATTGCGAGAACGATATGGAGACTTACTCGACCAAAATGTCAAGCAAGAGGACGTCTATGTGCTCTCCAGCAGCGTTCCACGTACTATTGAATCCGTGCAGTGTCTGCTTCGAGGGTTCTTTCATGACAGTGGTGATAACGAACAGAGGTATACGATCCCACAGTTTTACGTGCACACGTACGAGCATAACGTACTAGCGCCCATGCATCCACAGCAAGTGTTTAACGAGATCGAGCTCATTGTTCACGATGACGTGCTGAATCTACGCAGTCAAGAGGAGCAAGATGCGACAAAGAAGTTGGCGTTGCATCTACGAGAGTGTCTAGGAATACCTGATGATCAACTGTTGTCTTGGACGGCGTTGCGAGACACGCTGACTTGCCGTCAAGCACATGGCTGGCCATTCCCGGAAGGTGTCGACCGCAAGATTTTTAAGCAGATTGAGGCCTATGATACGTGGCTTTGGCAACGTCTCTATCATCGCAAAGATTTTTGCTACGGCGCGTTCAAGGATGGAGTCAAGGAAGTGTACAGCTTTGTAAAGGCAGTAGTGGAGAAGAAACACACTGCCAAGTTGTCCTTCTTCTCGGCGCATGATAACTCCATTGTGGCGCTTGTGGGCGCTCTGCAGATTGAAGTGGGCTCGCAGCTGCCTAAGTATGGTACCACATTGGCGTTCGAAGTGTATGAGGACGAGACGACCGGTAATTATTTCATTACACCACGTTACGAGAACGAGGTCGTGAGTTTTGCAGGACATACGCACGATCCGCTTTGCCCATTCTCACACTTCGAGTCGCTAGCCCTCGATTTCCTACATCCCAAGGAAACACTGAGCATCGAGGCACGGTAAGTAGACTGCGACTGCATCTATTACTTGTCATTCACATGAGTGGCTTGTGTGAACTGTTCAATGTGATCGATGCCTTTATAATTCAAGTCTTCCACCAGCTCTCTTTCTGTGGTTGTGCTTGTGCTGCTACATCTTCACATTCTTGGCCTCAATTGCGTTCAAAAGCGACTCAAAGCGCTAGAACTCGCCTCGGATACTTTATGTCGAACATCAAAATGCTGTCACCTAGGAAGCGCAGAATATGTCAATACAAGCTGCGAAACACGTCGCCGGGTCTTTTGAGGCCACTGCTGCTAAGGGTCCAAATAATTCTCCATCTACATCACAGTCACACGGCGATTACCAGTTTTCAAACGCCGTACTCCTTCCAGCAAGTCCCTTTGCTCAAATCGTGGCACTATCAAACGGTGTGTAGGCGATCGACGTTTGGGACGCACAAGCGTGGACCTTGGCATGCGTGCATCAGGGTCTGCTTGTTCTCAAAAGTACATACGACGAGTGATCAGATTGACGCCAATACTTCTCCATAACACACGAAATCAACTAGACCGATCTCCATTCATTGCCGATAGCTATTCACATCGTTAGTAGATCTCCGCCATGATGTTCACAACAAGCGCTGTCCAGCCCGTGAACGGATGGCACCGTTGTCCTCGACCGTATTGCTGCACACTATGAATATCACCGCTGTACTGTTCCCACAGATACCCAGTGCGCTCGTACTCGCGATACACATTGGCAATCACGTTCGCACGTAGCGCAGTATACGCCGAATGGAACTCTGCTTGGAACGGACTCCCCGTACTCGGCTGCGCGTAGTGATGCAGTGCATCCAAAGCCAGGTAGTTGGCATTCATCCAAATTGCTCCACGCCAGTACGGGTTGTCTCCAGGCGCGTTTTCCTGCTCAAAGAATTGATCACTCGTAGACAAGGAACGCAGTCCGAAAGGAGACCACAGCTGCGCAGGGTCTGTAACTTGCTTCAACAGTGCAAGCAGCTTCAGCGAGTCGGGCGGCAACAACTTCAGAAGGAGCGGGAACACGCTGACGTAGCCGACGTGCTTTACATGCTGTAGCTTTATGGTATGAGGAACAAACACAGGCAGCATCTGCAGCCCACCGCGGCCATCACCCAGAGGGAACATGTATTCGGGATGACTTGCCGGGCACTCGACTTGCTTTGTTTCAAGCTGCGTAATGGTGGCTGTCGCATCAATCACTTGACCCTGCTCGTTGCGGCAGCGCACAGCAACCCGGTACTCAATCACACCGTCCTCGCTGTGCTCGCCCACATCAAAGTACGACTGAGCTTCCTCGTTCCAGTGGTGTTCATCCAATCCAGCGAAGAAGTGCGCACTGTTTGACTTGAAAAGCTGAATGTCAGCATCCTGACCAATGAAACTTGCAAGCTTCGCCATAACGTTGCTCGACCGAATCATCCACGACAGCAGATCCACGTGCATTTCATTTTCACTAGGAAATGAGGCACGTGGATAGTCATCCAGGCCGGAAGAAAGCGTGTTTGAAATGAGCTTGCCATCATTCCGGTGACGACCACGCCAGCGGAAGCTCGTACTATGCGGTCCATACTGCGTCTTCAAGAACCAGCTATACCAACGCTTAAGAAACGGAAAGATCGTACGCATATATTCCTGCAACTCTTTGTCCGTGTCAGCATTCTGATGCCACTGCATCATTTTCTCGAGAGCCAGAAGCAGCGTAGGAGGATTTGCGTGTTCTACGTGCTGGACCAAGAACCCAGTCGGCACGCGACGACGAGCATCTTGGCCTAAGATCTGCTCGCGAGCAATATAGCCATCTTCTTCCATAAGGCCAAGCCAATGTGCGACAACATCACGCGTGAGTCGGTCGTCAAAAGCCGAGATACCTATCTGGTGAAAGCCTTCGTCCCACACAAAACCTCGAGGAAAGAAAGACCGCGACGGGACTGCTGTAAACAGCGGCTTCACGGGCGACTCGACAACTTCGGATTTCTCCGGATCATGTTGCACCAACGAACTTCCATAAAAGTAGCCTGTGCCACCAATCAAGTTACTGAAAGCCGCCTTTGCAAATGCTTTGAGGCTTTCATTAAACGGCGTCTCATCGCCATTATTCACTGGCCACGATTTTGTCGATAAATGAAAAGTTTCTTCAAACTTGTCCTCAAACTGCTTGGAGTACTCAATCAGCTTGTCAGCCATGAGATTATCAATGGGACTTGTCACAGTTTCAGCTCCACTACAAGACGCAACTTCATTGAATAGCACATCCAGTACAACATCTCCTTCTTTAAACGTAGCAATATCAACATCAATAATCGCCTGCACGACCATTAACGTACTACCTTCTTCGATAAAATCCTCAAGATAAATCTCCTCCTCTTCCTCCAAGTTCCTGCTCTCTTTGCCACCAAAATGTTGAGCAAGAGATACCAATTTCTCCTTCACATTGACTGCATTAGTGTCTTTAAGACCAGCATAATGCAACTCCATGCTACGAATTGTACGTCGAGTTTTCAGCTGAATTTGTATCTGAAACACTAATGGTGCCGTCTCCTTCTCATCTTCTAACCCTTCACTCTCCAGCACCATTTGGATACATTTTTCATCCTCCTGTCCACACAAAATCTCGGTTGGTTCAACTGTCACTTCAACTAAATTTTGCAGCTTTTCACGACAAATTAACGCCAAAGTCTCGTCTCCACAGCTTAAGTCGACGTAAAAAAACACCGACACTTTATTTCGTACTTGTAAATGACGTTGATACATTTCGTCTCGAGGGAGCAAAGGACTCACTTGTACTCGGACACCCCATCCTTGAATTTCATTGGTCAAAAATCGGACATAACTCGTCTGAAGCTCGAGACGATTAAATTGGTCCTCGATCTTTTGGACGCCATAATGAGTCCCATCGTGTTCAACCCATCCATAACGTTGAAGGTTGTCCTCCTGGCGACATTCATGTCGTATTTGGGACACATCTTCCATTTGGGACGTCCATAAAAGACCCGCCGACACAAAATTAGGCGCAGAACGGGACCGAAGGCCTAAATAATGTCCGGGACGGTACGTGCCCCACCGATACCGCGTCACGGAATTGGTTTGAGTGAATTGGTGCAACACCTCGACATCCAGACTCAATGGACTGAACGTAGACACGTCCATACGCCCATACATTGTCGTGTATGTAGAAATCGCCATCGCTATCAAGGATGCACCCACATAGACCATTTTAAAACGTCGCGTACTCTCCTCCGCCGTTAGGGGGGCCATGATGACGTCTATTAAAAAGGACACAAATTTAATGTCGCGACGCAAAACTTGTCCAAGTTGTAAACACAAATCATTATGTCTGACAAGAACTGGCCAATTGACTGGCCAATTACCAAGTTGTTCCGTCTTGTCATTGGTTGAAAATATATAATCATCGCCCTTATTGTCCGTCATTTTTCGATCCTCCACGTGGCAAGACATTGACTATGGCACGAGGAATGATGAAGATGTGGACGCTATTATTGACGTTTCTACTTGTGATCCAGTGGTCAAACGTCGATGTTGAAGCCAAGAAGAGTCGTAAGCATACGAAGGCGATACTTAGCGGCAGTGAAAAGCTCGTGCAATTGCAAGATCATGTGATCAATGGGGTCGTGCCTTTTACGAACGAACTCTTTACGCTTTACGCTGTTCGTCCTGAACGGCCGTATCATTTAGTACTGTTGATCACAGCTACAGCTTCTAATTTCAACTGTGACATGTGCCAGAAAGTGGCGCCAGAATTTGAGCTCTTGGCCAAGAGCTACAAAGCGAAGGATGACACCGACGTGGCCGTTTTTTTTGCCGTTGTCGACTTTGATACAAATCGAGAGGTATTTGGGCGTTATGATTTGACGTCCGCACCTCATGTTTTTTACTTGGAACCCAACAATTCCATTGATATTGGCGACAAGATTCCTCTGAAAAGTACAATTGAACCACAGAATATCTACAATATCTTTTCCCAAGGCATTACAGCCGAATCGATGGCCCAATTTGTCCAAGAACAGACAGGCTATGAGATCAAGATCCAACGGTCGAAAACGACTCTCTACATGCTGCTTCTAGTAGCACTTGTGGTAGTAGTCTTGCTGGCGAAATTGGTGTTGAACCATCTGGACTTTGTACTGGCCAAATTACGCCGGAAACAGCTCTGGATGACCGTCTCGTTGCTGTTCTATGGTCTGTCAGTGTCGGGGATGGTCTTTTGTATCATTCGCAATCCACCGCCATTCAGTGTCGACCGCAAGGGAAATGTCCAGTACTTTCATCCACAAGGCAGACAGCAGTTTGTCTACGAAGGACTTATCATTGGTGGGTTTAACATTGCTGCAGCTGTCTTCATGATCTTGCTGTCCAAATGGGCCGTGTACGTCCGCAACCCGATCGTCCGTTATCTTGCCATTGTTTGCTGTGCACTGGGCTTTGTGTTCATGTATCGCCAGATGACAAACGCGTACAAATTCAAGAATCGCTGGTACACTGGCTTTTTGGGCTTTTAGATGCAGAAGATACACCTGCAGCCCTGTCAATCAAGTGATGCTGCGAGAAGAAGAAGAAAAGACAATACGAGTGACAAGAGAGATCTGGTAGTCAGTCAATCAAGGGCTTTTAAATTGGTCACTGTTCCAAAATAAGTTGTCACGACGTCATAAAAAATAGTGTTGACCCAATTTTCTTGAAAATAGGTCGGATTGTGTACACAATTACCCAAACTCCCTTTCTCTTGTCCCCCCACCCTTTAGCCAATCGTACGTGTCCAGCATAAATTATCTCAAAAATATCCAGTCTTTAATCCGCCTCATCCTGACGATAATAGTTCCTACGACTTGACAACGACGCGCCCTTGACAATGGAAGGATGGCTTACAAAACGTCGTGATCATATGAACTTGATTTGGCGTACGTTTCGTCTCTTTAAAAATCTCACTCTCTACTATCGTCTCGTATAAACTAAAATATCTCTTTTATTTTTATCTGTGATAAAAAAATTATATCCATGATATTATCCATTAGGGGATCGCTATTTTCTTTTGGATTGTAACCAGTTACGATATTATCGTAAACGTGGGGATCCAGCACCTCGGGGTACATATATCCTAACCGATGGATGTATTGTGAGTCCTGTCTTCAATTCCGAAGAAAAACATAAACATCATGGCCCCGTGTGGATGTTTCGGATTACATTTACCGTTGGAGACACGACTACAGGCGAAAAACAAGCCAAAAAAGACCGATTTTTAGATTTGGGAGCCAAAAGTGAAGAAAATGCTAAAAATTGGAAAAAAGCCTTGGAAACAGCTGTTCGATCGTTGCAGGAATTGGTGCTCCATCAACGAAAACTCAAATCAGATTCCGAGAATTTTCCAACCCCGACATATGTTCCACGGATGCTCCAAGCTGATGAAGACACAATGTCTTTATTTAATTTAGATGCTGATAATGTCAAGGCTGAACAAGTGTGGTGGTTGGCTCGAGTGGAAGGAGGATTACGGATCATGCAGGAATGTCCATTGGGACCAAATGTTGCTGCAACGTTGTGTTTTCAACATGCAACGACGACAAATGGATTGATTTGTAGTGCTGTCCTGGGAGCAGCATTGAGTTTTAGTATCATGTATTCCTTTGCTATGAATATGTTGCTAAGTTTCATGACGGCTATGATGGCTATTGGTGTTTGTTGTGTAGCAGTGATGCCAACTCAAACACCAGAGATTTCAAGCTTTCGGGTATCACAAGTTGTACATGGATCACCGACTGAAGTGTTTCGACTCATTATGAATTCCAAACGATTTCAACGATGGGATGCTGCAACAGCAACGATGCGTGTTGTGCAGCAATTAGATGATCATGCTGATATTGTCTATGTGACACAACGACCGACGTACTTGTGGCCATTATGGCAAAAAGCTCGTGATCTTGTCTTTATGCGCTATTGGCGACGTGAAGAAGACGGATCGTACTTTGTCATGTACCAGAGCATGGACCATCCCGAGTGTCGGGTGCGTCACAATTACGTACGAGCAAACATTCTCGGTGGCGGCTTTGTTATTGCTCCCCAACGTGTTCCAAGTGGAACCATTCGTACGCTCGTCACTTATGTGCTCCGATACGATCCTGGTGGTTGGTCGCGCATTTACCACCAGCTCGGTATGGATGTGGACTTGGTCATGCCTCAGCTGCGCAGTGTTGTGGGCATTCGCGATGAAATGAGCGCCACTGACTTCATCACACCCAACGTCTCGATGGCGTCAGCTGGAGAAGGCGAAGAAGGACCAGAAGCTGGTGAGGAGGATTCGGCTGTCAACCAACGCACGAGCGTAGACTCTATGGGTGTTGTCATGGGTGTGCAGAAGCTTCAGACTAGTTTGCCAGAGAAGATGTGGGCCGAGCCTGACGCCTCTCTTTTCAGTGTGCGTGGCCACAATTACCTAAACGACAAGAAGAAGATTCCGTCAGCACCGGCAATGTTTCACACTGTCGGTGTGGATTTATTGTCCTTCAGCAGTGCAGCCGAGAGATACAACATTTCGTCTCGTGCGGACAGTGTTGGTCGTACTAGCACCAAGTTTACGTTTGTTGTGAACATGATCATCCCGGGTACCGAAAACACGTGCATGGTGTTTTACTTTCATCCTGCGCGTGATAATGTGTTCGAAGACGGCTCACCTTTTTCCGAGCTGCTGAACGACTTCTTTGATGGCGACGATGAATTCCGGAACTCGCGCTTCAAACTCATTCCGACCGTGGAGGAGGGTAGCTTCATTATCAAGCAGTCGGTCGGTTCAAAGCCGACACTCCTGGGCAACAAGTTGAAGTGCCTTTACTACCGTGGAGACAACTACTTTGAAGTGGACATTGACATTTCATCGAACTCGGTTGCTAACACAGTCGTGGGCATGGTGCAAGGTGTTACCAAATCGCTGGTGGTAGACATGGCATTCCTGCTCGAGGCTCAATCCGACGAAGAGCTGCCTGAAATTATCCTTGGTGCCGTGCGTCTGCAACACGTTTCTCTTGACAACCCGCATCGCATGCCACAGCTGTCGCCTTGATCGTGGCATTCAAGCAATCGACCTGGAAGCTTCAAGTTGGCGATAACGGGTGGACTTGTGGCAGGTCGCGTGCACGATCTCTTCATGATGGATGCATCAAGTGGAAGTGATATGGATTAGTAGCGAGCTTCAGCGCTTCCTTTAGTTTCTGGATGGTCAACGCTTTCATCGCGTGTGTACTCAATACATTCGTTTACTTCGCTGGTTGCTGTTCTGCTTTGCACTTCTCTCAGCAGCGCTGCTTATAATTATCTGACGTTCTGCTTACTTCTTACCTGAGGGTCGAGAGCATGGCAACGTTATGCTCGTGCTTGATTGCCATCATCGGGTTTCGCTTTCCAGGTTTGAGAGTCATCCGAGTCTCCAGTTGATTCTTTTTTCGTGAACATCGTCCGGCTGCAGCATTTTTTCTCGTAGGGATGAAGTTGGCGTGATCCCAGACGGTGTCACCTAGAGCAACCTGGTTCCAGAGATAACTCACCAAGCTTGCATTGTGCAGGTCTGCATTCGTGAGGAAGCAAAAGATTCTTGCACTAACATCATTTTCCAACGGAGGAAGTTTTGCTCCAAATAATGGCAGCACGAAGACTTGTTCGGCTCCGGCTGATGACGCAGCTTTTCCAATTCTGTCCGCAAAAGGCCATTGCTGTAGCTTGTGCTCCTGCAGACTGTAAGTGGCTTCATTGCTGCCACCTCGCTGTTCCTCACCTTGTCCTCTAACCGGTGACATTTTTTCAAGAGATTGACTTTGATTGTTTACTTGAGGCGTAGATCCGGATATGAACGGCACTAATCTCACCACCCGAGTACCACCTGCACCAATTCTTCTCGATGCAAGTAGCCTCGACTGCAACCGCTCGGTTCGATCGCGTTCTCGTTCTGGAGAGGCCTCAAATGGTGATGAAAAGTCTTCTTTCCAAGTTTTGCGGTCAATGCGCATCCGCCGCCTAGTACCATGAAGAACCGGCGATACAAAGGTCTCGTCAAGCTCGTTCGCAATACGTGACGGTGTACCACCCAATGCTGATTCCGCTCTTGCAACGCCGTTTTCATGTGCTACGCACGGTGTCTGGTTCTTACAATCCTGTAGACATTGACAGAGAATTGTTAATGCAACAATATTCAGAGAAACAACAAGAACTACGTACAATGCATCGGCAGTTGTCACCGCAAGACACTCCCGCCTGAAAGCATTCGCAGTACTTCTTCTGACAAGCTGACTTTTTGCAATGACATCCGTGCTTATGCATCTTCGTGGTCGCCAAACCCGCACTTATAATTTGCTGTTGTTGTTGAAAGCTCATTTGACCAAGTGGCGACAATAAGGACCCCGTGGAAACATGGCTACCACCAGATGCACCAACTGATAAGCGATGAGCACCTCCTTTCGCCAATGCTACCGCGGCAGGTGTGGCACAAATTTTCGGCTTGAACGCGTTCGGATTCTTTTCTAACCGCGATGCGATAGCTTGCTGCCGCACCTCCTCCGTCGCGGTCGTGTTGGCACAATCGAAACAATTACAGCTTTTGCCGCAATAGCCTCCAAGGCGGAAGCACTCACAGTACAGTTTGAGACACTTGGACTTTTTGCAATTGCACGGGGCTTTCTTGGACACGTGTGGTGGCATCACCATGACTGTAGCACCTAGCAGAGGTTTGGGTGTTGACTGCAACGGCATCGTCAGTAAAGTGGATGATCCAAAGCGCGTCGGCGTTTGAAGCATACTACTGTCGAACGAAGCCATGTCACTTGCATCGCAAGTTAGCATCATTTGTGATGGTAGTATGCTGTACTTGTCTGGAGTTGTTATCACCTCTCGCTTGATTTGCTTCGCAGGTGTAACTGCTAATGCTACTGCCTGGTGAACATCGAGCGGCACTATTCGCATCTTCCGTTCGAAAACATTGGCCATCGAAGCAGGCATGGAGACACACTGCGATGCTTTTCGCTTCTTGATATTGCCAACAGGTGTGGCTGGTGCTGGTATCGGATCTGTCGCTGGAACCAACCTGTGCGTTACTGGTGGAGACAAAGGCGCCTCATCGACAGCGACCTTAGTAGCTTGCTGACCGGGGACCAACTTTTGAGCTGTGGCGGTCGTCAAGATGCTAGCTTGTGACGTTTGTCCGTTCCAAGGGTGTAATGGTGATCGGGTGACAGTACGCGGAAAGGTAGACGACTTCACCGGGGTTTGCAACAATTTACGTTGAACGTTGCTGGAAGAAGATGCTTGCGGGTGCTTGTCCTCAGCATTACGTCGGCGCATGTACTTCTTCCGTTTCCTATACGATTCAATGTGTAAGAACACAACGCTTAGTCTACTTTGTCACAACGTAAGCGTTTGACCCATCAAGCACAGTTCATTAGAATGAACGTACAAGCTATTGTTGATGGCCTGATATTCACGCGTAGGATGTGAGTCTAGCAATGATGGAGAGGGTCCAAATGACGTGTGGAGCTTCAACTTCATGACGCTATAACTCCCTACTTTTAACCGCTCGTCTTGTCCTGGTGTTGCACTCGTGGAAGCCTGAATGTTCGGAAACGACTCTGCGAAAAAGTTTGAAGACATCACTCCCGATGCAGATCCGGGAGCTGAGATGGCTAATGATGCAGTCGATGACATTCCTCGCTTTCTGCTCGGCTTATGCTTTGGTGTCTCGATAATCGTAGGTGTGTTACTGTACGCGTGAGCTATTGAGCGAGAGCCTCCATTACCACATAGATCCGGTTCACGAAATGTTGGAAGTCTGTACATTGCATTGTTAGAAGCAAGAAAAGCGACAAGAGCTTGGTAGAGTTGCTTCTACGTACAATCTTGGCAGTTCATAAGAGCGAGGTACAAGTGGTGAAAGCTTCATTGGCATGAAGCTGGTCTCGAACTCCTCAGCGACCATAAGTGGGGAAAGTGAATTTGCAAACGAGAAAAACGAGTCGTGCTCGTTCAAAGTAGTCAGCGATCCACTGGGAACGCAATGAATATCGTCGGGATCGAGAATTGAGGCAGTAGTGCATGCCTGACTATTGGTTTTAGATGGCAATTGTATTTTTTCCTCAGCGATTTCTTGCTCGATGCCAAACTTTACAGCAGTCGAAGCTTCCTCCACGTCCGTAGTCTGTACGTTCTTGTGTTTTTCTTGCTGACAAAGTGAGTCAGTAGCTTCCAACAGCCTTTTCGGCTTTGCGAGCCGTATAGGCACAACATTGTGACGTTGCAATGTCTTTGAAGTCTGGATACTTGTCCCTAATGGAGACTTGAAGAACTTCGACGGTGAACACACGCCACTCGACCCACGTGACGACAACAAATGAGGTGATGTTAAGAAGTCAAAGTCACTGTCATGGGGCGACACGTCACTGGAAATGACACTGCGTTCCTCGTTCTTCTCTGAGGTCGGTGTCGGCTGTATGTCCACGTCCTGTTCTTGCTCTGGCTCGACTGCATCGGTCTGTGTCTTTTTCTCTGTAACGTTTCTGACCTGTTTCTTGCTCGATAAGACAGTTGTTGCTGCACTTTCCAGGTGCATTAGTGTCTCTGCTTTGGCTGAAGTGTCTGTGAGTATATTCTGGTGATCTAAGGCCCGTCTTTTTGTCTCTAGCGCCGCTGTTTCCACTTGTTTAAGGCTGGAGACACTCATTTCAGTCGCACGGAAGGCGTAATAGTCCCGTCTATCACTTAATGTGCTGAATACGGAGCGATACGTGATATTCGGGACAGGAAGAGCCACAAGATGACGTGACGAGGCGTCCTATAGCCTCTTGATGCGACCTTTAAATTATGGCGCGAGTATTGAAAAATAACGCGGGAAAAGTCGCGATGACGTTTTAACCAATCAGCGACGTCTAAATTTGAATTTCCACCACTTAGAAAGAAGATATAAATTGGCGGGAAAGGGTGCCAAGAGACCACCATGGTGTGATATGATCTCTGTAGCCATGACTTATAGGAAGATAATGACGAAAGTAACAACGATGACGGTACCATTTGCTTCCGTAGACGTTCGTCCAGTACTTTTTCACGTATCACATCCAAGCTCGACTTTAGTGGCGTGGAACACAGCAAGATCATGGCGTTTGACACCGAAGAAGACCGACAGATCCACCGTCAAATGGCGCATGACTACGTCTCTTCGAGCAGATCAATTGAAGGCAAACGGTCACAACAAATCTGCCGTCATCAACACGGACGATTGTCTCTTCCAGAAAACCAGAGCACAGCTGCAATTTGGACGAGTACGGCACTGCAATTCGGACGAGTACGCCACTGAAGTCACTCGTGTGTGAAAAGAACAAGTTTTATGGGGAAGACAAGCATAAGTCAGCCAAGCATCGTACAACCTGTACGCTGCCAAAGCAAAACACACAGGGTCTGCGGCAAAGCCAGTCTTCGTATCGTGTACGCTGCCAGTAATTTCATTTGACTTGGACAGGAGCTTCATCTGGAACAGCCTTCTTTGGAGTTTTGATGCATGTAACCGAGTTCCTTCTGCTCTTGAGCAGCCCATATGATACGTCATACGTGTGCGTGTGTCGTTACTTTCGGTTCGAACGTGGCGCCATCTACAACAAGAAGCACAGAACGTGTGTGAGCAGAGCAAGCCCAAGCCACGCAAGATTGTCAAACGCAATGCACTAACAACAAAGCAGTGTGCCTCCATCTTATCAAACATTCCATGCAAATGTATAGCCGCTCTGCCTACCAAGCTTTCGTTGTAGTGTTTTTCTGACGTTATTAGTGATCGGGAACAGGTGTAGCAGGATCAGTCTTTGCATCGCAAAAGACGTGTTCAAGTCCATTCATCTCGAGTTGTGTCGTCGCTGTTGCTCGTTTCCAATGACCAACGTCACTGCAGTACACCACACATGTAGTTAGTGTGATAACGAATCAGTACTGACATCTCTTCTTTACTCAAAAACAGAGATTACATGCATTTCAGCTCACCCCAAGCCAGTGCAGTGTCAATGCACTAAGCTCCGCTACGCTCTTGCTTAATGCGAAGTTGTTCCATCTTCCGGTTGCTGGAACGAGCAGGACCATATTTGTTCGTCTTCTTCATTCGACCACTTTTGGACGACGACAACTCAACCCGATAACACTGGCTGCGCGATCGACTATCGCTTCGACTAGAGCTGCGCTTCCAACTTCCCGAGTGGCCACCACTGCTGTAGTTTCGTTTCCGCTTCTTGCCGCTCCTTGAAAAACTGTAGGGGCTTTGAGACCGACTGCTACTGCGGCTGGTGCTGCGACTGTCGCGCTCGCGGCGGCCGCTGCCGCTATCGCGATCTGACTTGCGATCGCGCCGGTCGAAGTAGGACGGATCACGACGAAACCCGACGTCACGGCTGCTTTTTCGATCATTGACCCTGTCATCTCTGTCATAGTTGACGGACTTGTATCGAGAATTATACTTCTCTTCTTTGCGATCACGATAGCGGTCCCTAGTGCCGTAATCGTCGTAGTCGTCATAGTCGTCGTAATCGTACCTGTCGCGATCGCGACGCTCTCCACTACGCGCTCGACTATCATCACGAACGTGCTTTGCACTTGACCAGCTCTCTCTTTTGTAACGAGAATAACTACTGCTACGACTTTCGCTGCAGCTACGACTCCGTGGTCGGTAACGATCCTCGCCGCGGTCGTCGCTGTGTCCATGCCGATGCTTTTCTTCTTGGCTAGTAGCAAGCGATCGATTTTCCACCTTGATACGTGGCGCATCTTCATCTCTGTATCTTTTCGAGTTGCTTCCGCTTTGATTGTAGCATCTCGACACGGTTTGCGAGATGAACCGATCACCGCCGCCATTCCTCGTGCCAGTTTTAACCCACTCCTTCGAATCTTCCTCTGTCTTCTTCGTAAACTCCGCTTCGTTCAAAATAACGCAGGGATCTAGCCGTAAACCACCTAACTGAGGCTCGAACGCCTTCTTGATACTCGCTATCTCGTCATCGCCGTCCAATGAACTCGATGACTTGACCAACACGTCAAATTCCGTCTGCTGATCTTTCTTCCACATCTGAAGCGATCGATAACTTCGTAGTGCAGCCTCTGTAAACATATAGGATAGACAGCGCTCAGACATCATACTTGTGTACCGACGTATGGAATGACGTACTTGCTGTTCGGACGTTGAAAGTGTGACCTTCCTGACTTGGACTGCACCACTTGAACTTGAAATCTTTGCCCTTGTTCCAAATTGCAATGTAAGCTGCAGCCTCGCCAAGTAACTGCGGCGAGAAATCTACACACATTGGCAAATAAAACCTGACGATACTCAAATGTCAGAGTTAGATCATTCTACGACCGCAATAATGCAACAAAGTGCTTCAAGTCACGCACAATTCTTCAAGAAGTTTTTGTGTATCGTCGCTGACAGAGTTTCGAACTGCAGCACAAAATAGGAAGAACAGCCTTTTTAGCCATGTTACTGCACAGGTGACGCCACTACATACCACGTACATTTCGGAGGCATCTTCTCCAACGTCCGGCGCAAATAGTAGTAGGGCATTTCCGCAGTCAACTCGAAGTTGATACCTTGAAGCACTTCCATTTCGTAATAAAGCAGCTGCAAACGCTCGATCTCTAGCAGTTCCTCATCGCCAGCATACAGTGGGGTTTCCAAGATATTGTACATGACACGCACCATGCGCAACAACTTCATGCGTTTGCTGGACGCCTTGGCCGATAGGAAGAGACAGGCTGCTGCAAATTTGTAACGCTCTCGAGCGTAAATACCTCGATCAAACACGCGATGAAAAAAGATACAGGCAGTAAACTTAATGTCACTGCTCAGGTCGAGACTCCGTGACAGGATGTCGATGAAAGCAATAGCAGTGTAGCGCCAATGCTGCTTCTCTTCAGGCTTGCTAGCAAAGTTTGGTCGCTCGAAGACCAATGGACAATTCGATCGATCAAGCTGTAGCTGAGGTGTGTTCGATGGCGGCACTTCAAACGATTGAAGCTGGTCAGGAGCCTCAGCTAGTCGTTCCATTTCACTGCGTGGCAGCGGCACGGGAGCTCTTCGTGGCTTGCTTTCTCCCATCACTAAACTCTTCCAGGCCTTGATTTTGCTCGGATACAACTTGAGCTCTTCCCAACGTGCAAGTGTCTGCACACAAGTAACAATTTCAAGTGTCAGACAAGAAGTGAAAGCGACAATGCAACTCATCCGTCTTCACTGACCTTGAACACTCGTTTCCGGTTTTCCTCGGCATTTCGTTTCTCGCCATGACGAATCTCTCTCGTACAAGCATTGAGCACCTCATCTACAGTCTGAAACCACTCTCGTTGTACTTGTTGCAATCGTTCTCCCTCAAAGGACTTGAGAAACTCATGGAGTACGTAAAACAGCATTAATTTTGCCTGAAATCCTCGTGCTCCATCAGCATAAGCTCGCTATATAAAGTACAGAAGAGACCAAAGATGTTTAGTTAGTATACTAACACACATGCCAATATCGTTAACAACAAACAAGAACAAGGTCTATTCTATTAAAACACACCACCACGACCATCACATAAAGCCATTAGATTCAAAATACTCTCACCACACTCCAATAGTATAGGTAGAAAAGCTCAATAACACTTGAGCATGGTCAAGAATGTGTGACATGTGAGAAAGGTTGGTGTGTGTGAGTAGTGTGATGTGGTTTTAGTAGTGGGTAGTGGTGTTTTAAGACCTGGTTTTAGTTCCTGAATATAATAATTAGGTACCTGCTTCATCTTGATCTGGAACCGAAGTGTATGTTGGGGATAGGCAGCCATATAGGCCGCTGTCTTGGTCACGAGTTCTCGATTGGTGACACATCGTAGTACATCATTTAGTACCACTCCAAAGCCTGCAATTTCTTTTTCGGACTGAGAATCCGATAGTAACGGCTGTTCTGGGGACACGATTAAAGACGTCTCTAACAACAAATTGCTGCCATTTTTACGGCGCTTTCGATCACTCAATCGACTTGAAAAGGTCTTGGACATCTTGTGGAGTTTTTCTGGACGTGGGGGAAGCTCTTGAGTGGCGTAATCGCCTATAGAAGCGACGGTATCGTCGGATCCGGACATATCGACGTTTGAGACCTCGACAAAACCTGATAGAGCGTCCATGGAGCTGAGAAGAGATGCGTTGGATGCACAAGACGCAGCTGTATCGACTAGATCCACTATTGGTGACGTGGAGGCGACGGTAGCGCGTTCCTTGTCGTCTGAAAAAGTCGGATGATGGCGTCCAGTGTCCCCCATGAAGCTTCCCGTTCTTTGTATGGGAGGTCTTCACTTATCGGACTTAAGAGAGCGACTAGTGTAATGAACTAGTCTAAATGTATATATTGAATGAAGATATGGCTACAGCTGAATACATGGCTACAGTTGAATACATGGCTACAGCTGAAAACATGGCTACAGTTGAAAACATGGCTACATTTGTTACAACTTTAAATGGATGACAGGTCTCTCCTTTGCATACATCATGTCAATGGGCAATTGAGATAAAGTATACTAGTGAATGAATGTACTAGGACTAGATTTGCAGTAGCTGTCTTGCATTCGACTTTTAATAGCCGCTGCCTATTTCATACCAAACTGATGACGTTCGGTATGGTCCTGCTATCGCTTTCATGTGCTTAATATATATATCAATTGCAGTTAAATGCCTATGGAGTCTTTTTTAAGCTGAAGCTACTTTTGGCCATGCAGTGGTATCACCCCCTCCCCCCTTCTCCAATTACATGCATAAAAATATCTCGTATCGTAATCAATTGCAGGTGAGACATTCTTTTTTTATACCCTAGGATCCCGATTTAGATTTGTAGTTGAAGCTGGCTTCAACTTGACAAAAGTACAGTCTACTGTAATACCGCCTTACCTAATAACCTCTTACAACGGTTAATAAAAATTAACAACCCCATAGAGTTAAACCTACCTAGCAAAATAGCTTCATTAACTGATAACTTGTAATAATCGGTATATAGATCAATATCTAAGAGACCACCTTAGGCAGTATTAACTAATGCTTCGAGGGATGGTTTTCTCTATAAAGGACTGACGTGATCATACGCGTCATTCATGAAAATGACGTCAACTGCCACTATTGTTGACCCAAAAAGCCATTGTAGTGCCAATGCTGAGCTTTATCGCGTACGTTTCAATAGCTGGTCTCAATTCATACTTCCGTCTACTTGAACAAGCATAAACACACGACTTATTGTCTAGGATGCCACTGGTGTGCGCTGGAGTTTCATGCTGAATCTGACCGACATTTCATACGGTGTGTACGGGTGAGACTGCAAAATGTCGTCTACACTCTTTTAAACGTTGCATTCACTGACACGGACCATGGGACTGCAGCAACAATAAGTTTTACATGGGACAGCTCATTGTCGACCACGGAGTCTTTGTGGTATTCCGCAAATGGGGACGAGTCGGTGCCAAGTCACCGCAGTCGCAGACGGAGCGCTTTGACACTTTAGAGAATGCCGAGCGAGCTTTTCAAAAGGTTTTCCAGGCCAAGACCGGTAACAAGTGGCCACTTACAACGCCGTTTATCCGCAAAAAAGGCAAATACTTTCTTGTCGGTGGGTCTTGACGTCTTTGAAGCTTTTGTAGCAAAGGTCTTTATCTAATTATCATGTCATGGGGATGTGGCCACAGAGCTCGACGATGAAGAAGCGGAAAGAACCGTGGCTGATGTTGGAAAAAAAGTGGAGGTGAAGAAAGAGCTCGTGGCGTCCAAGCTGCCAAAGGAAGTTCAAAACATGGTCCAGGTAGGGATGAGACGGGATTATTTGCCGACTTTTCCGTGTCTGATGCCTATATGTTGTCATTGACAGCTTATCTGCGATCCAGAGGTAGTTACGCGAGAAATGGCCAGCTTGAATGTGGATCTGAAGCGCTTCCCGCTTGGTCAGTTGTTTGACTACCCAGTTGCATTGTGAAACTTCGTAGCTAATACATTGCAATGTGTTCACAGGCAAGTTGTCGAAAACTCAAATCTCGCAGGGCTACAATATTCTGCAACGTCTTTCTGCTACCCTGGAAGCGATCGAAGAGTTGACAAGAACGCCTGCTGTGCCGGCCAAGGCGGCGAAAGCCGGCTCGAAGAGTAGACGAAAAGGAAAAGCCAAGGCCAAGGGACCAGTTGCAGCTACAAACCGAAGCCTGTCTAGCATTCGAGGAGATCTCAAAGCACTGTCTAGCGAATTTTACTCGCTCATTCCGCACGACTTTGGACGTTCACTGCCACCGGTGATCGAGACGATGACAGATCTCAAGCTGAAGCTTGAATTGCTTGAAGTATTGTCGAATCTGGAGATATCGCAGATGTTACAGAAAGAAGAAGCGAACAAGTTGACGGGACCTGCGGTTCATCCACTTGACACTCATTACAATATGTTGAACACGAAGATGAAGCCACTGAGCAAGCGTGGAAAGGAGTTCAAGATAATTGAAAAGTACGGAAGTCGTTTGGACACCGATAGAGTACAACTACTAGAAGCTTGGCATTCACTTACCCAGCTTGTCGCGCCATGTACATGCACAGGTTCATCAACAAGACGAACGGTGGGTCCAAGTTGAGTATTAATACCATACTCAAGATCGCTCGACCGGAAGAAGACACTCACAAGGATGTGCTTGGATCTATTGACAACCACAAGGTACGGTAACGTTTCTTGAAATCTCTCTCTTGGAAGTACTGACGTTTGTGCTTTGAACATGTAGCTGTTGTGGCACGGCTCTCGCCTGTCAAATTTCGTTGGCATTCTGTCGCAAGGACTGCGAATTGCTCCGCCTGAAGCTCCCCGGAATGGATACCAGTTCGGCAAAGGGGTAAGAGCAGTGACATTGAAACTATTGAGGTGGATGCTAGAGGATCTTATCTTGACCGTTGCTTGTATGGATGTAGCTGTATTTTGCCGATGCCTTGGCAAAATCTGCAAACTATTGCTGCGCGACATCCCGAAATCCCACCGTACGACCACATTGAGATGTGGCACGTGGGGCAGGTTACGTGTCTGACTTTGTCGCGTTTACTTTGATACTCCAGGCAGTACTTCTACTCGCCGACGTCGCTCTGGGCACGCCGTACCAGATCCCGACGGGAGAGTTTCTGGACTACAAGATGGTAAAGGACCAGCACGGGTGCGATAGTACGCACGGTCTCGGACGCATGGCACCAGCAGAGAACGAGTTTGAGACTCTTCCGGACGGAGTAGTGGTGCCAGCCGGCACACTGAAACCTGTCGACGGTCACCAACATTTGCTCTACAACGAGTTTATCGTGTATCGCCGTGAACAAGTTCAACTGCGGTACCTTGTGGCTTTGTACTTTCAAAACGTTGCATGTGCGTGGTAAGATGACAATAAGAAGAATCTCAATGGAAACTGCACCGTCAAGTGTTTATCACACGTCCGTTCCCACTTTCTAACTGGATAAATTAACAACAACCAATGGTGTGAACAGCACCTCTGTGTATTCGTTAACAATGGTTTCTCAAGGTATTGCAACGCGAGTGGATCCTCTAAGTGGATGTGATACCTCAGCAAAAGTTTATCAGGTACCGTAACAGTATCATGTGTTGTAATGGAGATGGGTGTTTGACCGTTAGTTACATTCTATAATATGTCGCTTTCGCTGGACGAGTAGGACACGGATGGTATTGCATGGAGTTTCATGCTCAATTACACTAACATTTCATTCGGGACGTACGGGTACGTAGTGCTACGGCATTTGATGTCATGGAAAGTGGGTGTATATTAACAATTGAGTGTAGCAACAATAAATTTTACATGGTGCAGTTGATCCAGAATGGCGCTGATTACATGGTCTTTCGCAAATGGGGACGCGTCGGTACCAAGAACCCACAGGTGGGCAAGGAGAAAGAAATGAGTTTTTTGCTGTTGAGTGGCACTTATAGGCAATGACTGCAATTAGCGAGCTCTGGAGCGCTACAATACGTCGTTAGAGAAGGCACAGGCCTCCTTTATGAAGAAGTTCCTGGACAAAAGCGGCAATGAATGGCCATTGACTGAACCCTTTAAGAGAGTAGAGGGCAAGTACGTGCTCGTTGGTGAGTGTCTGAGTCATTGTTTACCTCTACATGTGAGTCACTCGAAGACTTACGAGTAACTTTCGTGACAAGTAGAACTCGATGAAGAAGTACAGGAAGAAGAGAAGGATGAGGTCATGAGTGAAGCTGAAAAGGAAGAAGAGGTGGCGTCGACTCTTGCCGAAACTGTTCAAAACGTTTTGAAAGTATGTCGAAACATTCTTTCTGTTGACATGGTTCTTACTGATGTGAGAATGATTTGACTGCTATGTCTACAGCTTATTTGTGATGCTAATGTGATAGCCCGAGAAGTAGCAAGCATGAACCTTGATTTGAAGCGACTTCCATTAGGTGTGTCATACTGTGCTTCTTGTATTCGTGACACTGGGCGTACTAACGCAAAAGCTGCTCGTTTGCTCGTACTAGGCAAGCTCTCGAAAACTCAAATTCGGCAGGGGTATGCAATACTGCAACAACTATCAGCAGCAGTCAAGGAGATTGACGAGCTGAGAAAGACTGCTGCAGATTCGCAAGAGACGGCTTCCGAAAGACCAGTTGCAACTCGTCGATCCACTCGAGTGAAGCGAACGACCAATTCGCACCTTGTCCAGCTCCGTCGCCTGAACAACAGTCTGAAGACTCTCTCCAGCGATTTCTATACACTAATCCCGCACGATTTCGGTCGAGGTTTGCCAACCTCGATTGATTCCTTGGACAAAGTAAAACTGAAAATCGACTTGCTCGAAGTGCTGGCGAACTTAGAGATCTCACAAGAACTGGAAGCAGAAAAGAAGAAGAACGCGGAGAAGAAAGTCGGTGCCAAGTTAAACTCATTGGACGCACAATACAACCTCCTGAATATCAAGATGGAGCCATTACTTGAATCAACGGACGACTTCAAGATCATTGAAAAGTTCTTAGTGAAGAAGTATGTGCATGGTGTTCTACCATGGTATTGACGCATTTTCTTATGTCTGCTACAGATACGTGATGACAACGCATGCTCCGACTCATGTTCAGTACAAGCTGCGCATACAATCGGTTGTTAAAATTGCTCGTCCTGACGAAGAAAAGTTTCAAGACGTTTTTCAGTCCATCGACAATCACAAGGTTGGTTTGCTAGGAGGAACTAATGGTGCAAAGTTTGTTTGTGATCTAAGATGATCGTTGACCATGCACAGTTGTTGTGGCACGGATCTCGTTTGTCGAATGTCATTGGAATTCTATCCAAAGGACTTCGTGTGGCCCCACCTGAAGCTCCCAACAACGGATACATGTTTGGCAAAGGAGTACGTGAAGAGTAGTTATACTTTGTGCAGAGTTGGTGAATGCAATGGCTCATGGACTTATGAACTGCTCGTAGATCTACTTTGCTGACTCGGTATCCAAGTCTGCAAACTACTGCTGGACTACGCCACAAAATCCAAAGGTATGTCAGCCATTTGAATTCCGTTTGTATCCGTTCGATGAGATCAACCTCGAATCTCTTCTTGACTTACTTGCTGGCTGTTTGTTTGCAGGGGATATTGATCTTAGCTGAAGTGGCTTTAGGAACTCTTTACGAAGCACGTGAAGCGGAAGATTTGACATATACCACTTTGAAAATAACAAAAGGATGCGACAGTACTCTTGGAGTAGGTCGAATGGCAGCTCCTGAAGAAAACTATGAGACCATGTACGTTTTTGATATGATAGTGTCATACCTCTTGTAACATTGATGAAGATTATTGATAGACGTTGTCGATATTTCTAGGAAAGATGGAGTCGTCGTACCAATTGGCGAGTTTGTGTCGTCTGAATGCAATGGCTCGCTGCTCTACAACGAGTTTATCGTGTATCGTGAGGAGCAAGTGAAGTTGCGCTATCTTGTTAGTCTTAACTTCCTCTACGATGATGAAGACGTGAAAGTAGAAGAAACGTAGAGTAGACCATCAGTGGAAGAGTACATTTGCTAGACAAGATACCATTCAGTCCATATCGTTGTTGTCCTGTCTTCTAACTTTATCCCTAATGTGCATTCGCTAACTTGTTCCAATTGCTTCACTATCTCATTCGCTCTTGCTACGAGCGAAAGAGCCCATACTGATGCACGCTTCGCAGCAACTTTATACAATGTCCAGAGCATCGAGAGAGTAAGCGCGACCCACTTCCCCATTAGCTTTCGTTGTAAACTTGCGTGACTAAATAGGCAATCACATCTTGCGCATAGCGGTCGGCATCGCCGTCACCATCAAAGCTACGCTGCAACTCTTCACGACACTCGGTCAACGGCAGGCTGAATAGCGGGATGACCTTATCTGCTAGCTTCTGGAAATATCGGCACACTTGCTTCTCGCCCCGAATAAAGAATAGAGCTTGAATACGGTTGGAGAACAGCGGGTACTTCTTTGAGGCCAGAAGTTCATTGTCCTCTTCAATGGTAGTGTCGTATAGACTAAGTTGATGGGTCATGAGGTTGCGTAAGTACTGGAGCGCACGAATCTCATTGTCAAAGGAAATAGGTGGCGACGAGTGCGCCGGGCTCTTCATCTTCATCGAGGAAAACTCCTCCTCAGTAGCAACAATCAAACGAGCAAAACTAAATCCTTCGCGCGTATTGGTATCTGAGTGCGAGCAACTAAGACGTGCGTCCATCGTAAAGATGCCGCTCTCGTGGAGGTATGCTCGTTTGTCATAAAAAAGCTGTCCATCTCCTGGCTGTAACTGGAAATCAATGAGCACTTCGTTTGGATTACGTCCGTCTTCCTCCGTATTGTCCTCGACTGCAAAGCCGTAGTTGAGTAAAAAGCGATGATTGCATTTCTTCCCGTACGAGTCGTACACTTGTGCACCGGCACCAATCGTCCCGAGGGACGTAATGGTAAACGCATCAATGCTCTGATCAAAAGTCCAGCTCGTTTCACGTGGCCGATAATGGTTCAGCATGTCTGCAAAAGGCACAAGTGCTGCTGTCTTGACACCATCAATTGTCAAGCCAAAATTGCGACTACAGACAATCATCCGTGCCCAGCTAAAGCGATCCAATGTGAATCTCGTGAACGACGGATCGACTCGACAAATAACGTCATAATCCTTTCGAATTGCCGCTTTTCTTTCTTGAATTTGCTGAATAATATAGGACCCTTTTAGCCACTGTAGTTCCTCTTCAGACCAAAAAATGGGCATATTACTCAATGTTAAAGGTAATGTACTGTAATAATTCCGAAAAAAGGACGTTTCCACATGTTCCATGTCAGTCAACAGAAACATCATGAGATAAATGTGCTTGGGGGCGACAAAATTCACGTTCCGAGCCAATAATTTCCGTCCAATGTCCGTCTTTTTACCCATTTCGACCGTAATGAGACACTTCTTCGGGACAACAAGAATACGTTCCCCTGGTACAAGGACTTTACAGCTATGAACACCACGAACTTCCGGTGCATATTCTTGCAATGTCAATTTCTTGGAATCCGCGCCGTTTTTGTCCAGCCATTGAATCAATTCTTGTCCGACCACATCGTCGACTTTTTTAGACTCTTTGTATGGCAAAGAGGAGGGACTGGAAGTAGTAGAAACAAAGGTTTCTTGCAAAGAAGAGACGGAAGAAGAAGATGAGGTGGTGGACGTGGAGATGGATGTCGTGGTAGACGCAGTAACAGGCGGCGAAGGCAGCGGAAGAGCGCTCATGACGGGAAGCGTGTCTATGGATTTGGGTGACGATAAGGGACGTCACTCAATTGAATCATAAATGTCACTGAACAGGAGGACAGGGCATTGAAATGAAGAGTGACAGGGTCCATGACGCGCTCGCTGTTTAGAAAACGTCCGGCAAATGTCCTGAATAGCCTATTACTATTATTGCAGTAGAATTGTACTACTATATTTTTTATACTCCTACTACTACTACTACAGTACTACGGGTACGCAACCTGGCGTTACTGACCAGTTGAAGTTTCAGAAATAGTAATTAGTACTCAAGTCGTTGTCGAATACCAATCTCATTTTTAATATCGTGTGTAGTCTATCGTCGTGTAACCAATCCCAAGGCTTTTACAACGTATAAACAAACATTCACGCAATCAAACAGCAAACGGTAACACAAGTCTCAAAGTCGCTATTTATTCCGTCGTCGCCGTCATGCGGATGCTGACGATGAACTCGATACTAGAAGACAGTGAACGTCGACGACAAGATGATACGTCCCATGTACTGCGTAGTCCCTTAGCCAATCATAATGAGAATGACGACGATGACGACGTTGTCCATGAGCTGGAGCATGTACCCGACGGGTTTCCGAGTCCACCAGCGCGTGTACGACCACGTCGCCGTTTTGTGAATTCAGGTCAAACCACATATGAACTTTCATTCTCAAGACGCCCAGCTAATGGACGACGAAGAGCAGAAGGAGAGGCAGCAGCTGTCAAGGTTCAATCCAATGGACAAGACGAGTATCGCCCAATCCCGGCTGTATCCTCGCTCTCGAGTGTTTTAAGTGAAGTTATGACGGGCAAGACCAAAGCACTTAATAACATCATTGATACGACATTACCACAACCAAATGTGACGTACAAGGTGGAACAGGCAGCGGATGGGACATTGTACGTGGCGGCATCCGATGGTAATAAGTACTTTGCAAACTCAACCATTGGACAGATTTTCCTCAAGTCTGCGTCGAATCATAATGGATCCAAAGAATATCGAGGTGAGTTTGATAATAGACGACCAGATGGATCGCAGCAACAGCAGCAGCAGCTGTCTACGAGACAAGCAGACTGTGTTGGTATAGAAAACATGACTACTATGAGCAAATTTTCGACGGATGTGAGTGATAAAAAAAGTGATGGTGACGTCAAGAAGACGGTGCTGGGATATAAGGAATTTCAAAGCGGGATGAGAAAGGAGGAGAAGAAGGAGTCAATGACCGACTTGAAGACACTGCAGGAGCAGAATCGCTGTACCGGCGCAGCAGATTTAGGCTCCACGGACGCTAACGCTCACCAAGCGAGCAATACGCTGGAACCGACAAAACATGTCTCACAGAAGAAAAAAATTCGTGGCGACACAAGCTGGATTGTGCGTCCGGCAAACAGTGACGCGCAAGAACCAGAATTGTCTGAACCTACGGAAGTCGTACTTCTTGACTCGAATGACATGCAGACCGCTCATCAGGCGAAACCAGACTTGCTTACAGGCTTGGCAACTGCCACCAACGACAGTGAAGTTAGTGACAGTGGCCCTCACGTCGGTAGTTCTACCAGTTCCACAGACCTTATCGGGGCGCCGACCAAAACGCCAACTCAACTTCAACCGAAGAAAGATTTACCATCGGCCTTAGATGCGTATGACGAGGACGACAACCCGTTGTGTCGGTCGTTCCAGAACGTACGTAACGTGGATTCGACGCAGTCCATGTCAGATGAGCTTGAAGATGATCAGGAGGATGAGCATGGTCACGACGAAGAGCATGAAAACGCAGCGACGACTGCAAATGACGATTCATTGGATGTCAATTCGCCTGTGTTGTCAAGTGCAATTAACGTGGCGGCGTTTGTTGGTGGCTTCAAGGGTCAACTTGTTCGACGATCTGGTGCAAGCGGCTTGGTGAACCGCAAGCGGGCTGTGCGGCATGCGCGCCTTACAGTAGAAGAGCAGAAGGCAGCAGACATCGCGCGAAAAATTCGTGAAGCTCGCAGTCGTATTCCGTTCGAGTTCAGGGACGAGAATATGTCTCCCGCAGCAAAAGATGAGCTTCAGAAGAAGAAGATTAGGCTTGCTCGCGGTCGGCGTGTTGACTTCAACCCAGACGTGTTATGCCGCGAGTTTGAAGTTGAGTCGGAGGATGAGGACGACGGCTATGATAGTCCAGATGAAATCGTGGATGCTGTCCAGTTAGTGAGTAAGCGCGATGTGTTCCGTGCCGAGGACGTGGTTGCAGCATTCCCGATGGAGCAACCGGAGCTACCATCAGAGGAAATGGCGGGGGCAATTATTTACGGCAATGAAGCTGATTCACCAGTAAATGCTGAAGGGTACCAAAGTATGCGAAACGATCCATTGACGTTTTCGCAACTTAACAACGATAAGCGACTGTCGTTTTCCGATCTTTGAGAGTGACGGGGGAAGAAAGAAGGAGGCATCTGGCGTTGATCGGGTAGTAAGTAGCGTATCTATTTGGAGGGAAAGGCGCGAGCCCCTCCGCCGTAACAATTGAAATATCATGATTTTGTGTGTCCATGCTCGCTTCGTTATGCAGCTCGCGCGACTGTCAACGAGCCTGTAGCTTACTCGTTGACGTTGTGGTGGATTTGATTAACATCCTCGTCTTCATTAAGAGCGTCAATGAGTTTGTCAAAGGTCTCCAGCTGCTCACCCTCCAAGTCCAAAAATTCCTTGGGGTTATAGACGAGCTCGGAAACAGCGGGTTCCAATCCGGCCTCCGTGAAGCATTTGCGCACGACAGCTAAGTCATTAGGATCACACATGATCTGCGCCAAGCCCTCACGCGTCTCAACATTGTCTGCCCCTGCATTCAGCTAAGCAGCCATTAAATACATCAAGCAGTCAAGAATACACACGAAAAGCCAGCCAACTTGGTCTTAAACACACCGCAATTTCAATGAGCAAGTCCTCTTCGACCGCCGATCTGTCCCCATCATCTGACGGCAATTCAATCTACGAAGCAAACACAGTGACATTTCAACCCATCACTTGTCGTCACTATCATAGCGACGTCGTACCTCAAGGTACCCCTTCCGCTCGAACATCCAAGCCACTGAGCCACTTGTACCTAGAGCACCATTGTATTTGCCCAAAATATGACGTAGTGCAGGTGCTGTTCTACGCTTGTTATCTGTCAGTGTCTCAATCTGTCGAGTACATGACGCAAAAGCATCAGCACACCTAACTTCAAAGTGTAGCCATTGCTATAGCATAGTCACCATTAGGGCACTTCCAGCTGGACCTGAAGCTTCGTATAATACAGATTCAGCGTTGCTTCCTGTATACCCTCATATTTTTCCATCAGTAGGCCTACAGTTGGATACAAAACATTTCTCTCTAGTATTCTACCGTCTTTGCCTTCGACACCTCGTTTGATTGCAGCTTCAATCTTGTCTTTGGGCATATTGGCCGCTTTGGCTTTGTTTATAACTGCCACAAGCCTCTGCAACAATTGATAATAGTACTCAGTAATAGTAGTAATAGTAGTAATAGTAATAGTAGCTCTCTACCCGATTGTTCACGTCTCCTCGCACCGCTTCAGTAACAAACAAGTTCAATGCGCAATTAGTCAGTCAACAATTACATTCCCAACTTCAACTTCAATCTCTCTCTCCCTCTCTCCCTTTCTCTTACACTTCGAAACGACCATAATCTCCCGCGCTAAAGTGGCGTTAGTGGCCGTTCGTTTCTATCGATTAATTCATACGTTACTCTCATATAAAGCATGTTGTGTATCGATTGCTGCAACGCACCACGTCCACAGCATTTTTTCTGCCTTGGATAGTAGGACCTCGACCCATCCAACGCATATTCTCGCGATAAACGCCCGTGGATATCGTCCAAGCAGCGCGGCATCGGGCGAGCATCCTGAAAGTCATATGGTTTCGATAAGTACGTATACCACACTAAGTACGCATATTACACGAAGTACGAATTAAGAAAGAGTGATTGTCACTTCAACTTGGTCATTTCCCTTCCGCGTCGGACGAAACCCCAATCTTCGCACGTTAACGGGCCTTACGTACGTGCCTGACTAACGTACGTGCCTGACTAACGTACGTGCCTGACTAACGTACGTGCCTGACTAACGTACGTGCCTGAATCGTGCAGTTTAAATGGTCGCTAACGTCGTCGTCGATTCCGCTGAAAGATGCTCGTTAACGGTCGGACGTCTTGATGCACACAGGATGAGACCTCAGAGTTAAAGTTTCTCACGTCTACACAAAGCCGAAAACTGCTGAAAATGGACGGAAACGGTTTTGTCAACCACGTTTTTCGCTTTAAACACAAGACACCAAGTGACAGTCAAGATCCAGCACTATGCTGTTCTTTTGCCAATTGGATGGCGACATTTGTAACCAACTTTACAGCCGTGGAACAGTCGGAAAGCAAATGTAGCCATGTCGAACCTTTACTGGACGATCGTATGGTCTCGGCGTCGCTCTTTACAATTCATGAAGTCGAAATGTTACAACAATTGGCGCAACGTCTTGTTGCTCCAGGTGGTAAACATAAAAGAGGTGACGTGTGGTATGATCCATGGCTTCCACAATATGGATGTGTAGTTCAACGAAGTTGCTTAAGTGATATTAAAGTCAAGATTGAAGTAATTTTCGTCGATGGATGGGAGCGGACGCTTCACTTCTTACCATCTGGAGAGTGTGTCCATAGTGCCGTGCCAACGACACACCACGTCCTGCATTGTGCAGACTTGGACACAAAAGTAGAAGCGGAATTCTCGACTAGCTTTTCTGCCAAGTTATCTGAAGCACAGACTCGTAGAGCATCAGAGAGAAGTGCAGCACACAATCAATTGGGACACCAAAAGACTCCGCAGTTTATTGCTGCAGTGGTGAGGTGTACCGTTAATTCGTTAGTGCAAGGGGTCTCACAAGTTGGGTCGATAACTGCTGGTCCCAGAGGAGGCACAACTGATGTGGGACTACATACTGGAGGCCGAGCACGGGACACTTGCTGGGCAATTGTTAAAGCTGTGATTGAGACACAATCTCGATTGTGAACCAGGTTTGTTTCGAAAAACTATGGTCGCACTCAAGTTGAAGTTGCTCCAAATGGCAATAAGCAACGCTGAAGAAGAGTTTGGTAGGATCAATGTAAAAGATGGATGCATGTCTGTGGATGACCTGTTCTATATGCTGCAAGTCAGTGTTCAAAGCATTGTTGAGCTCCTCGAGTGTGGGTACGATGTCTTGGTGCTCAAGAAACAATGCGCTACTATACGCTCCAGAATTGATGGGTTTGTTGACATTCTGAATCACCAGACATCAAAGAAATACGTTTTGCCGAAAGACGAGTTGCTACAGAAGCTCAACAAGTTGAATTGTAGTATGAAAATGATCTCACCAAAAAGAATAAAGGAATCTCACAGTTGTGAGAGTAAAGAAGAGCGTCGTCAACGAGCATGGATCAATTTAGATGGACGCTACTTTCTAAGTGGAACATCGTGTACGCTGGATGAGCTGGTTCAATGGAGCAAATCAAATGCCTTTCCAGCGTCTTACAAATGCATTCTGATATTGCGGACGTTTGAAGCTTATATGTTTGAGAAGGCGCTGCTGCTAAATGGCGATGGTCCCTGCGGTCAAGGAACTGGCGACATTACTTTTAGTCTGGAGCAGATGCAGGCATTTGTTTCGCAGTACGAGGGAGTTATAAATTCGTGGTACCAACTTCCACGAATGACGTCTGTTCTTGATGTGGAACAGCGCAGTCGCAAAATGTTGGTGATGTGGATTGCATTTTGCTTCGTCCATCAGAGATGCGTGGGTGAAGTCCCTCTTTGCACCAACTATAACATCGCGCTAGAATGGAGAGACCTTAAAGTAGCTGTTTTGAGTGATGAAGCAGCCATTTTGGCCCTTCAGCACGTCGCACGGTATATTCGCACGTGGAATAACACTAACCAGAGGCCCCCACTATTCCACTTGACCAACCAGGAACCAACATTTGATTTTGGACAAAGATTCGGATTGGGTAGCACCAGCATGATGGACGTCTATAACCGTGAAATCGAGATTTGGGAAGCGCGCGTTAAAGAAAAGTGGAACGAAATTGAAACGAAGAAGAGAAAGGTTGCTGAACTTCGAGCGGAGATTTCACGTCTGAATCAAAATCTGGTGTCAAAAAAACTGTTGTTGACAATTGAGGAGGAGCGTTTACGCCTAAACTACCGTTCCAATTCTTATGGCTACTATCCAACGTCAAAGCCCTTTAAAAAGCGGAGTTGGAGACCGATATCAATGCGATTAACTTCCGCTATCAGGACAAATGAGGAAACGCTGGAGAGAACTCTTGTTGCTCCCCGATACTTAGTACGGCCTCTTCCTCCAGCAAAGAGTGACGCAATCACAGTGATTTTCATGATGACCATGCCGCGCAATATTGAAATCTTGGGCAGCTTATGCTTAACCGCACAACGATCTCTTGCTGCCAATGCAGGAGAGTGCTTTACCGAACTTGAGCACCACGACATGGTGGCTATTTTACAATCAGAACGCACCAACTCAAGCGATACATGCTACCAGTATAGTGTTTACAGCGAGCCCTGCTCCCTTCTCTCTTCCGAGATCTTGCGGTCCCAATAGTGTGGACAATTTGTACGATATCTACCAGTACAGATCTCAATGTGTTTGGAATCTTAACCTATCTGGAACGGCTTTGACGTGGGTGGATGCCTCCGGCAAGAAGATGAACCCTTTTGGCGTCACACAGTCGAGCGTGGTCGACAGCTTCACCGAGAAGATGCCCCAAACGTTTAAACAAATCCAGTGGATGAATGCTTGGCCTGGTGAAGGGGATATACGAGGAAATATGGTATATGCAAATCTTCATCAGCAACCAGAAAACTTTGAGAAGGTGTCGTTTATCGCCCTCGGATCGCTACGTTCATTCCCAAACCAGCAGTTTCGGAAGCTTCAGTGCGCACTACTTGATGACGTTCTTCCGTGGTCGAATCTTTGCGTAGAAATCATTGTGCGGCAGTTACTCTACCAAGTAGGGGCACTCACTGACGAACTTAACCCTCAATTGCTCTGGAAGTTCGACATGTTTAATAATGGTGACAAAGGCCTCGAAACATTCTGCGCCACGCTTGAACACATTGCCAGCAAGCTCAAACAGACCCCGCGCAATTTCGAATCCGTCCCGCTTCTGAGTGAGATGGCTGGTTTTTTGTCGCAGTACTCGTATGATGCAAGGATAATTGTGAAGACGTTTGCTGGAATGGCGAGACGCTGGGCAACAAATGCACGCTTGGAATACGGGGAGGAATCTTCGCCGTACCGGATTGCTGAAATTCGGAGTAAGGAATGCATTCTGTTCGGTTTCGCGCTGCTAGCGTATAGTCTCGGACCATGGAATAATGAAGCAGCTCAAGAAGTGTGTGAGATGATCGTGTTGTTTCGCACCTCATTCCTTTGTGCAAGCATTAATCTGAGGTCTACAGAGCAAATGGTTCGTACAGAGAGCAAGATTGCTGAGACGATGTCCCGTAGAGTATTGGAACTTATTGCTTATGTAAGGGATCACGAAGCAAATAACATCCTCACTGGTTTAGTGCGTTTGGTCAGTGCGACGTCTCCTGGGCAATTGGAATGGACTGTGTTTAGTGAGCCTTCTCGGGTCGGTGGACAATTCAGCAGCTGCTATGAAGCATCCGACGAGTCGATGGATGTCCATTATTCAATCAACCTGTTTACAGGTATCGTTCTTACTGATGGATATGCTCCTGGGGGTCTTCCGTCCAACATTCGTCAGCACAAGAGATTCCTGTTACTATTTGGGCGGTCTAATTTCGAAGTATTTTCTACAAATGGAGTTCTTCGAACTGAACGAAAGTACTGTGATCGTTTGTACGACTTCGCACTTGAAGACAACGATCTGTTTGTCCAAGAACTGACGGTGAATGCTTCAGGTGAGATCACTGAAACACTACAGTTATGCTCCGTCAGCTGGGTCAAAGGGCTGCGTAAACAATTTCCAGCTCAATTGCGGAAGCTGTATTCACATTGGTACTGGGTAGAGCAAAAGTGTGTACTCTTTCGACCGAAAGAAGCCAAGTGTCGAGAGGTAAATTTCGCTGCTACCTTCGACGACAGTGGCTCTTTGCAATGCTATAAAATAGCTTTCAGCGATACCAAACGTCCGTACGAAGTACTCAGGAGCCAGCTCAATGAATACGACCGGCTTGTTGCAAAAGAAAAACCGCTTTTCAATGTGTTTGAGATGTTGGCAAAGTTCGAAGATGAGAAGTTTCTTTATCCTTTGAAGTCTTCTAACGGCGTCCTGAAAATTGAGCTGCCTCGGTTCAGGCTGACGTTTTATTTGAACAGCATGATGAAATTTGAATCCGTGGAACACAAGGGCTATATCCTAGCGCCAAAGCAGCAGTTTGACAATTTCCTGCCAAGGTTCCACCGATACTTGTTGCTGACGTTGCATAACACTACCGATACATCACGACAAGAAATTCGCATGCTCGTTCCACTTGGTGCCGTCATAGAATCTTCGGATGGTATGGTTGATATCGAAATTTCGAGCGAGGCGGGTAGCCGAATAGATGTGGCATGTTACGATATTCACCGTCGTTTGAAGACGCTTGAAACCGAGACAATCGGTGCGAGACTTCAGCTTGCTGCAGTCTGTGCTCGAGCTGGAACGAACGTACCCAGCAAGCTATTGAAAATGACAGGAGAGGAGATGGCGATACAAGTTTTACGGGCATGTAGGTCGAGTCGGCCATTTTCTTCTTCGGAAAGAGACACCTTACTGTCGATCAATAAGTTGAGTTATCGCGAACCAGCGGTAAAAATCATGGCTGTTGCGTTGCTTGCTGAAGCCGACCGCCAAGCATTCCTCTTCGGGCAAACGAAGACGATTAGTACAGCGATGGGAAGTAGCGACGAGCAAGCAGAATACGCAGATATGTGTGCGAAGCAAGTCCAGCGCAATCCCTTGCGTTCACAATTTCGAAGCGTCGAGGAAAAGATCATTCTCGGGCATGTGAGGCACTCGTCAGTATCTGGTTCAACAAAAGAAGTTGTGTTGTGCGACTCACTTCCAGTTGCCGACGACTATGTGAAGTCCATCGAAGATAAGCTTAGACTTTTTCTTCGGATTGAGACTCAGAAAGCGAAAGAAATGCCACCACTACCGTTGGATAGCAGTACTACAAATGCCATGAGCAGAGGGATGCTGGACGAGCTGCAAGTGAGCTGGGATAGCTACCACTCGCAGATGGAGCCAGTACTAAAGACTAAGCCAGGTATGTTGCTCGGCCCATTCGAGACGCTATTGAGTGATGTGTCCTCTTACCGTGTTGAGATGCAAAAGTATCTGTGGGAGTCCTTCTCGAAAGCGATGGGCAGTACCCGTGATTACCTTCTAAGACTTGTAAATTTTTTGCCCATGATCACGGTAAGTGATATTGTCCGTTGTGCTTTTGATGAAGAAACACTTCGAACACTGGCGCCAAAGCTGAGCAAGGAATCGAGAGAACTAGTCTCAAAAGGGGTTCTCCAGTACATGGAATTATGTGTACTAGAAGACAAAGTGGAGAGGCTAATCTGGATAGCGAGTCGCAGTGGTGAGCTATCAGACGCTCAAATGGTTGATGAGCTTGTGAATACTCGTCAGTGGCAATCGCCAGAATATCCGTACTGGTTGGCGTTTGAAGTGGAGGGTAGACTTCAGATTCGACATGAACAATATGTGATTGCTCGGCACCTCATTGATCGCCCAGGAACAGTCTGCCAGCTTAACATGGGGCGTGGTAAGACCCGAGTGATCTTGCCCATGCTGTTTCTCTATTTCACTCGAAGCCAGTGCTCACAAGTTGTTCGTGCGCACTTTTTGAGTCCATTGTTAAGCGAAGCGCAGCAGTTTATGCACCGATACCTGTCCGCGACCAGTGCTCGCCTGCAAGTTTTCGAACAGCCATTTCACCGACAGGTTGACCTGGATTCCCGCAGACTTGAATGTATTCGTGACACCCTTGAGGAGTTAAAGCTTTTTGGGGGCATTCAAATGGTAGCTCCGGAACATCGCATGTCACTTGAACTAAAGCGTTTGGAGCTGGGGAATGATGGTCCCATGGTGAAGATGCTGGACGAAATCCTTGACAGTGACCAGTTCGTGGATGTTCTGGACGAGTGTGACGCACTGCTTCATCACAAGTATCATTTAGTGTATGCGGTGGGAATTCCCATTCCACTTGGTAGTGGGGCGAAGCGGTGGATGGCTGCAGAAGCCCTACTGCGAGCCGTGGCAAATAACACTTCTGCTTCTCGAGTCCGTATGGTGCTTCAAGCCCCACATGTCTCCTGCGTTTCACCAGACTACGCCACGCGCTTAGGTTCGTACGAAGGCACTCGGCTTAACACCGTCGTCGAGAGCACCGAAGGCTTACGAGATCAACTCAAAGAGGCGTTGGTGTTGGATCTTATCGATAGTGCCCCGTTTGAAATGATGTGGCTCAACGCTTTTGGTAGCGGTGCTGCTCGTAAGCCGCTGATTAAGGCTATCACTGATTCGACCGTGAGTCTACAGGATGCTCTCGGAAATTACATGTCAAAGCTCGCACCATACATAACTCAGTTGTTAGCATTGAGAGGACTCGTAGCATTTGGAGTGTTTGAGCACTGCATGGAGAAACGCTATCGCGTTGATTTCGGCCTTCCGGTTGTTGGTACGCGACAGAAGAAAATTGCGATTCCTTTCCGTGCCGCAGATGTTCCTTCGGAGCGGTCCGAATTTAGCCACCCTGATGTGTGCATCGTGCTTACCCTACTGGGATATTATCACTGTGGTCTGACAAATGAGGAGGTTCGAAGTACTTTTCGGATGCTGTTGCGCTTGGATATCTCGGAGCAGAACCAACAATATGATCGATGGTTTGCTAGTGTGACGCCTGGTTTGAATGACGATGACCGAGCAGCTCTATCTGATGTCCGTCATGTAAGTCTCGCCGATGCTCGACAGTTCGAGACGCTGTGTAGAGTCTACAAGTTCTGCATGGAGGCGATCAACTTCTACCTGAACACATGCGTATTTCCGAACGATACTCAGCAGTATCCACAACGGTTGTCTCGAACAGCGTGGAACGTCGCAGCAGGAGAAAATAACATCGGATTCTCAGGTACGAACGACAATCACCGTTTGCTCCCACTTTCAGTGGCGCAACAGGAGCCGAATGAGTCCTCTTTGCTGGGCACGAATGGAAAAATGATTGACAAGATTCTGCAGGTGACTCACAGCTACGAGGTGATAACTACCAATCCGGACCGTGCTGTAATCCCGTGGCAGAGTGTCCTTCGTTTTGCACTGGACAAGAAAGCGCAGGCTCTTATTGATACGGGTGCGCTCCTTGCCGGTGTAAGCAATAAGAAAGCAGCCGATTTCCTTCTCGGACAATCTGACTTCGACTTTGCTGGTGTGACGTACTTTGACAATCGTAAAGACCTTAACTGCTGGATGATTTCAGAGAAAGCTCGGCAGATCGAGGTATCGTTGAAAAAAGCGTCGATGCTCGAGAAAGAGACGTTTGTGATCTTTGACGAAGCTCGCTCGCGAGGATCGGACATGAAGCTACTACCGGATGCTGCTGCTGTACTGACGCTTGGACCGAAACTTACCAAAGACAAACTAATGCAAGGCGCAGGACGAATGCGGCAGCTGGGATGCAACCAAACGCTTTGGATTGCAAGTTTTGATGAGGTTGCGCAGAACATACTTCAGACCAGTGGCCAACGAGATGTCGCGCGTGTTTCTGCAATTGATGTGCTGAATTGGGTCATGGATAACACGAAAGCGGAGGCTGTGCGCGGGTTGCTCGAGTGGGCAGGCAATGGTATACATTTCCGAGAGACCCAGCTAAGCCAAGACAAAGAGTTGGTTGACGAGAACTGGTCCTTAGAGACACTGTATCAAGAGAAGGTTTATGCAGACAAAATCGCTCAAGTGATTAAGTCCAAGGCGTTGTTCTATTTTAAAGACTGTGCGGATGCTCTGGTTGATAAAATCTGCCGCAGAGGATATGTATACGGCGTTGACAATGAAGTGTGCTGTACCTCACACACTGATGAATGCGAGCGAGAGCTGCAGGTGGAGGAAGAGGTGCAGCAAGAAAAAGAAGTTGAAGTCATCACGTGTTTGCCCAGAAAGGAGAAGATGTGGGAGTATGCGAGTGTCCTACGTGCTAAGAGAGTCGAAGACCTTAACGATAATGTGCCAGTGTTGGAAGTGACGGCGTTTATACGCCGATGGATGTGCCCAAAAGAGTTGGCGAGTCTGGCATGGACTAAATCGCAAATCTTTGGTACTGAGAATTTCTTCAGTACAATCGAGGCTCGACCAGGTTTGAGTCATATGAATGCGTTTTTGCGTGTGATTGATGTTGTGTTGGTGTTTAAGAATGGCCAGGTTTTGCTGGTATCGGAGTGTGAAGCTGATCATATACTGGAGCTGCTTTGGTCTTTTCGGGACGAAGCAAAAAAAGCGTGCAGCTTTAGTTTCATAAATCTGGCGTTCGCATTTGAAAGCCTTGCTCGTGGTAGTGAACACACTCAGTTCCAAGATACCCACCTGACACTTGGATGTGGACTTGATCGAAAGCTGCCGATACTATCGACCGTTGCATGTCAAGTCTACAATGGTGAAACAATGTTGGCAAAGAGCAAACAAGCGCATATGGAGCCTGCGTTTCGTGATTTACTCCGTCCTTTGGCTCAGCGTGAGGTAATTATGAGTAACTTTGTGAGCTCGCGCGGTAATAGCCACAAATGGATGCGTTCGTTCCTGCATGAACTCTGCTGCCACATGGATCTCGAAGATTGTATGTGATGGAGAAATCTCTTTTGAATTGGAATTGACAATGTTGAATAGTGACGTTTTGTGCAACTGTCAGCTGTTTTTAACCACCTTTTCAAGTGTTTGCCACGAAATTTTAGCATCTTTTTTGATCTTGTCAATTTCAGCAATTATTCTCTCACAATTTATGTGAAGGATCTCTTTATAATTTGGAGCCTAAGCACCAAAGATGCAGAATAGACGACACCCGAGAAGCATAACTTTTTAGGTATCATTTCCTAGTAATAAATAATACACTATGTGGCAAATAGAAGGTTACAATGTATACGACACGTTTATAGCAAATATATTCTCTTACCACGTGACAAGAGAAACAGTGACATTATGATACTTAACAGACAGTAACATTGATTAGGAGCAAACACTAGATAGAGTAGTCTGGTGCAATCAAAAGTACACTAATCTGGTGCAATCATCTTCTGGTGCAATCATCTTCTGGTGCAATCATTTTCTGGTGCAATCATCTTCTGGTGCAATCATTTTCTGGTGCAATCAAAAGGATGTTTTTCTCACAGGTCATTTTGGATGCCACGAATGTCACCTCATTCTTCAATTCACTCGATTCCACATAAAACCGATACAATTCCATGGATATAAATGACTTTACTGAGTTAAAACAACGTCAAACTGCTCAAGACGAAGTGCTCAATGTAATTTTCCGTTTGAAACACAAGACTCCAAGTGATCGACAGGATACAAGTCTATGCGAGACTCTAGTGAATCAATTTACCACATTTATTGAGACTATTCACGCAGTCCAAGAGTTCAAATGTTGTTGTGGTCGAGTAGATCCTCTCGTGGATGATCGGATCGTTCCAGTGGGAGCTTTTACTGTCCATGAAGTACAAGTGCTGCAAGATATTTGTCGCCGTATCAAGCCTCCAGATGACGTTATCCATAAACGAGGAGATATCTGGTACGATCCGTGGCTTCCATCGTACGGCTGTGCACTGCAACGAACAAAGATAAATGCAGCGATGATCAAATTGCACGTGATCTTTGTAGACGGATGGGATCGAACGCTGCATTTTGTGCCGACAGGGACGTGCGTGCATAGTGCTGTTTCCAAGACGTACCACAAAATACATTGTGCAGATTTAGATTCGGCTTTAGAGGAGCAATTTGAAGAAATGTTTGCGACAAAACTAGCAAAAGCTCAAGTGAGCAAAGGCCCGAAGCGAACGGCAAGGTTTAGACAGCTGGGACATCAAAAGACACCGCAGTTTATTGCTGCAGTGGTGCGCCGTGCGGTTGCTGCAGTGATGCGACGTGCTGTTGCGAATAATTTCGAGGAAGGGGACGACAAAGAGGATGTCGACGACGAAATGATTTCTCCTCAAGGAGGAACGACGGATGTGGGACAGCACACGGGGGGAAGACCACGTGATTCGTGCTGGCCAATTGTTCGGGCGACGATTGAGGATAACCTTTGCTGTGGTGAAGGGCTTTTTCGAAAGACGATGGTGATGTTTCAGCTGAGTTTGCTTCAAGCGGCTGTGCTCGAGACGCAGAGTAGTTTTGATCGTGGCGTTTGTACTCGAGACGGTTGTGATGCGGTGGATGGTCTGTTTTTCATGCTGCAAGTCGTTATTGAGGCCACTGTTGATCTTCTCGATTGCGGATACAACATCTCAGCTTTGCTGGATCAGTACCGTAATCTGCGAGCTACAATTGATGGATTCGTAGACTCCCTGAATCACAAGATTGCGATATGCTATCAGCTACCAGATCGTGCCAAAATGCAACAGCTTCATACACTTGACGGCGGTATGCAAGTTGACTCGCCAAAACGTGAAAACGTCTCGAGCCTTGCAGCGAGCGAGGAGGAGCGTCGCCTCCGTGTAGTAACGAATCTGGAAGGATGCTGGTATCTTGATGGGGTTACGTGCAGTCTGAATGCGTTGTTGTGCTGGGAAAAGTCTAGCGACGCTTCGAAATCATGCAAGTGTATTCTGGTATTGCGGACAATTGAATCATTCATGTTCGCGAGATCTGTCGAACTAAGCACAGAAGACGAGCACTCATTCTTCGACAGTGATGAGGAGTTCATTGAGAATATTAAGTCGCTTGTCACAGTGTACCAGAAAAATATCTGTGAGTGGCGCCGGCTTTCACAGTCAACATCCTTTTTGGATGTAGACCAACGTAGCCGAGAGATGCTGGTGATGTGGATTGCATTTTGTCTCGTTCATCAGAAATGCGTGAGGCAAGTGCCTTTATGCGCTGAGTACAATATTGCTCTTGCTTGGCAGGACCTGAAAGTAGCTGTCCTAAGTGACTGTGTTGCCATAAGTGCTCTCCAGCATGTGAGCAAATACATTCGTGGGTGGAACGAGAAAACTCGAGGTCTTCAACTCTTCCATTTGACCAACCAGGACCCGACGTTTGGTTTCGGACACAGGTTTGCTCTGAGCAGCAGCAGCATGATGGATATCTACAATCGTGACGTTGAAAGCTGGGAACGGCATGTACAAAGGAAGTGGGGAGAGATCGAACAGAAGAAGAGCAGGGTCGCTGAGATCCGAACTCAACTTTCTAATCTTGAGGATGAGTTACAATCGAAACATCGCGACCTAGCGGACGAAACTGTTTGTTTGAATGACGAACGTACAGCCAACAGCTCAGCAAAATCAAAATTAAAAGATGACATCGTGAGCATCAATTCGCGGATCAAACGAGCGAAAGAATTGTTGAGACAGGAACTTGCTACTCCTCGTCCTCTAGTTCGACCACTGCCAGCGATAAAAGAAGATGCCATTCAGATCATATTCATGCTGACTATGCCTCGAAATATTGAGCTGCTCGGCAGTTTGTGTCTAACTGCTCAACGAGCTCTTGCGCCAACAAAACCGACCGGTGAAATGAAGATGCTGACAGGTTTGAGTACAACCACATGGAAAGCTTTTTACTACCAGAAGGCACCATCTCAAGCACTGTGTGCGACATCGACAGAGTTCACAGCAACTCCTGGTGCAGTCTACCTTCCAGAGTGCAGCCGACCACAAACTGTGGACAGCCTGTTCGACATTTCCCAGTTCAAGTCACAGTGCGTTTTAAATCCAGTTCTGTACAAAACGAGACTAACGTGGGAAGACTCAACTGGGGTTGTTTTGAATCCCTTCCTTGCGACTCCAGCGTGTGTGGCCGACAGCTTCATTGAGGAAATTCCACAACCATTTGAATCTCTCCAGTGGATGAATTCTTGGCCCGGTCAAGATGACACACGAGGCAATTTGGTCTACGCAAATCTGCATCAGAAACCTGACAATTTTGAGAAAGCGTCGTTTATCGCTCTTGGTTCCTTGCGTTCCTTTCCAAACCAACAGTTTCGAAAGCTGCAATGTGCCTTACTGAACGACATATTCCCGTGGTCCCATACTTGTGTGAAAATCATTGTGCGGCAGGCGCTTTATCAAATCGGAAATCTTACGGACGAGAAGGAGCCTACGTTTGTTTGGAAGACAGATATGCTGAGCGGTGAGGAGGGCTTGGAAACATTTTGTGCCACACTTGGTGCCATTGCCAATCAACTAGAGCAAACACCACGCCGCTTTGAGGCTATTCCACTTCTTAGTGAACTGGCTGGGTATCTGCATCAGTTCACAGACGTTGCAAAGCCTATTGTGAAATTGTATTCCAGAATAGCGAGGCGTTGGGCAAAAAACTTACCTGCTGAAGACGAGAGCGAACATTCTCCTGACCGAATTGCCACTTTCCGTCAAAAGAAGTGTATTTTGTATGGTTACGCGCTGCTAGCCTATACATTAGGACCACTAGACGATGCAGCGTGTCAGGAAGTGTGCGAGTTGATCGTGTTATTCCGCTCTTCTTTCCTTTGTGCTGCTATCATAGCCCCCTCAACTGAGCACATGCTTTGCGTAGAAAGCAAGATCACTGAAATGATGACTCGTCGTATTGCAGATTTGATTAAGTACGTCAAGAAGAGCAAAGGGTCTGCGCTAACAACTTTGGTGAGTCTAGTAAGTCCGACGTCGCCTGGTCAGCTGGAGTGGAAGCAAACTTGTGAGCCACTACCTGATGAAGAGAAATTTGGAACCTGTTTTGAATCCTCGGGAGCTCAGTACGCTATTAACCTCTTCACGGGCGTTGTTTTGACGGATGGCAACGCTCCTGGTGGACTACCGCTTAACATTCGGGAACACAAGCGATTTCAGGCCCTTTTCGGATCCTGTAATTTCGAAGTGTTTTCCGTGGGTGGCATGTTCCAAGCTAAATCTACGTACTGCGACCGATTGTACGAGTTTGCGCTTCAAGAAAATGATGAACTTTTCGTTCAAGAGCTCGTCCTCAATCCATCGCGTAGTGCTGGCAATACACTACAGCTATGCTCACTCAGCTGGATTGAGACGATCAATGATCAACTACCAGCTCGGCTGTGGGAATTACATTCTCATTGGTACTGGGTAGAGCGCAATTGTGTCCTCTTCCGACCCATAGCAGCCAAAGATCGGAAGGTTTTCTTTATTGCGACATTCGATGAACAGGGTAATTTACACTGCTATCAAGTGCCATTAAGCGACATGAGTTGGTCCTATGAATGGATCTTAAAGCAGTGCAAGGACTACAATCGGTTTGTTCAGAGGAAAGAGACTATTCTGAGCGTCCTAAATGTGCTGACAAAGTTTGAGGATGCCCAATTTCTTCATCCGCTGAGCTGTCCTGAAAAGGGTTTGAAGATTGAGCTACCACGTTATAACATGGCGTTTTATCTTAATGACAGCATGCAGTTCGAGTCGGTAGAACACAATGGTTATGTCTTGGCAACAAAGCAGCAATTTGATGATTTCCTGCCGAGATTCAAGCGATACCTGCTACTTGATCTGAAGGACAAGTCCGACACATCGCGGTCGGAAAGTCGTATGCTCGTTCCACTTGGTGCCGTCATAGAATCTTCGGATGGTATGGTTGATATCGAAATTTCTAGCAAGGCGGGTAGCCGAATAGATGTGGTATGTTACGATATTCACCGTCGTTTGAAGACGTTTGAAACCGAGACAATCGGTGCGAGACTGCAGTTTGCTGCAGTCTGTGCTCGAGCTGGAGCGAACGTGCCAAGCAAGCTATTGAAAATGACTGGAGAGGAGATGGCAGTACAAGTTTTACGGGCATGTAGGTCGAGTCGGCCCTTTTCTTCTTCGGAAAGAGACACCTTACTGTCGATCAATAAGTTGAGTTATCGCGAACCAGCGGTAAAAATCATGGCTGTTGCGTTGCTTGCTGAAGCCGACCGCCAAGCATTCCTCTTCGGGCAAACGAAGACGATTAGTACAGCGATGGGAAGTAGCGACGAGCAAACAGAATACGCAGATATGTGTGCGAAGCAAGTCCAGCGCAACCCCTTGCGTTCACAGCTTCGAAGCGACGAGGAAAAGATCATTCTCGGGCATGTGAGGCACTCGTCAGTATCTGGTTCAACAAAAGAAGTTGTGTTGTGCGACTCACTTCCAGTTGCCGACGACTATGTGAAGTCCATCGAAGATAAGCTTAGACTTTTTCTTCGGATTGAGACTCAGAAAGCGAAAGAAATGCCACCACTACCGTTGGATAGCAGTACTACAAATGCCATGAGCAGAGGGATGCTGGACGAGCTGCAAGTGAGCTGGGATAGCTACTACTCGCAGATGGAGCCAGTACTAAAGACTAAGCCAGGTATGTTGCTCGGCCCATTCAAGACGCTATTGAGTGATGTGTCCTCTCACCGTGTTGAGATGCAAAAGTATCTGTGGGAGTCCTTCTCGAAAGCGATGGGCAGTACCCGTGATCACCTTCTAAGCCTTGCCAATTTTTTGCCCATGATCACGGTAAGTGATATTGTCCGTTCTGCTTTTGATGAAGAAACACTTCGAACACTGGCGCCAAAGCTGAGCAAGGAATCGAGAGAACTAGTCTCAAAAGGGGTTCTCCAGTACATGGAATTATGTGTACTAGAAGACAAAGTGGAGAGGCTAATCTGGATAGCGAGTCGCAGTGGTGAGCTATCAGACGCTCAAATGGTTGATGAGCTTGTGAACACTCGTCAGTGGCAATCGCCAGAATATCCGTACTGGTTGGCGTTTGAAGTGGAGGGTAGACTTCAGATTCGACATGAACAATATGTGATTGCTCGGCACCTCATTGATCGCCCAGGAACAGTCTGCCAGCTTAACATGGGACGTGGTAAGACCCGAGTGATCTTGCCCATGCTGTTTCTCTATTTCACTCGAAGCCATTGCTCACGAGTTGTTCGTGCGCACTTTTTGAGTCCATTGTTAAGCGAAGCGCAGCAATTCATGCACCGATACCTGTCCGCGACCAGTGCTCGCCTACAAGTTTTCGAACAGCCATTTCACCGACAGGTTGACCTGGATTCCCGCAGACTTGAATGTATTCGTGACACCCTTGAGGAGTTAAAGCTTTTTGGGGGCATTCAAATGGTAGCTCCGGAACATCGCATGTCACTTGAACTAAAGCGTTTAGAGCTAGGCAATGATGGTCCCATGGTAGAGATACTGGACGAAATCCTTGACAATGACCAGTTCGTGGATGTTCTGGACGAGTGTGACGCACTGCTTCATCACAAGTATCATTTAGTGTATGCGGTGGGCATTCCCATTCCACTTGGTAGTGGGGCGAAGCGGTGGATGGCTGCAGAAGCGCTACTGCGAGCCGTGGCAAATAACACTTCTGCTTCTCGAGTCCGTATGGTGCTTCAAGCCCCACATGTCTCCTGCGTTTCACCAGACTACGCCACGCGCTTAGGCTCGTACGAAGGCACTCGGCTTAACACCGTCGTCAAGAGCACCGAAGGCTTACGAGATCAACTCAAAGAGGCGTTGGTGTTGGATCTTATTGATAGTGCCCCGTTTGAAATGATGTGGCTCAACGCTTTTGGTAGCGGTGCTGCTCGTAAACCGCTGATTAAGGCTATCACTGATTCGACCGTGAGTTTACAGGATGCTCTCGGAGATTACATGTCAAAGCTCGCACCATACATAACTCAGTTGTTAGCATTGAGAGGACTCGTAGCATTTGGAGTGTTTGAGCACTGCATGGAGAAACGCTATCGCGTTGATTTCGGCCTTCCGGTTGCTGGTGCGCGACCAAAGAGACTTGCGATTCCTTTCCGTGCCGCAGATGTTCCTTCGGAGCAATCGGAATTCCGCCATCCTGACGTTAGCATCGTACTCACTCTACTTGGAAACTATCATCGCGGACTCACAGCCGAGGAAGTTAAAACTACCTTCCAAAAGCTGTTGCGCTTGGACATCTCGGAGCAGAACCAACAATATGATCGATGGTTTGCTAGTGTGACGCCTGGTTTGAATGACGATAACCGTGCAGCTCTGTCTGATGTCCGTCATATAAGTCTCGCCGATGCTCGACAGTTCGAGACGCTGTGTAGAGTCTACAAGTTCTGCATGGAGTCGATCAACTTCTACCTGAACACATGCGTATTTCCGAACGATACTCAGCAGTATCCACAACGATTGTCTCGAACAGCGTGGAACGTTGCGGCAGGAGAAAATAACATCGGATTCTCAGGTACGAACGACAATCACCGTTTGCTCCCACTTTCAGTGGCGCAACAGGAGCCGAATGAGCCCTCTTTGCTGGGCACGAATGGAAAGATGATTGACAAGATTCGGCAGTGGACTCTCAGCTACGAGGTGATAACTCTTAATCCGGACCGTGCTGTAATCCCGTGGCAGAGTGTCCTTCGTTTTGCACTGGACAAGAAAGCGCAGGCTCTTATTGATACGGGGGCGCTCCTTGCTGGTGTAAGCAATAACGAAGCAGCCGTTTTTCTCATCGAACAACCTGACTTCAACTTTGCTGGTGTGACGTACTTTGACAATCGTAAAGACCTTAACTGCTGGATGATTTCAGAGAAAGCTCGGCAGATCGAGGTATCGTTGAAAAAAGCGTCGATGCTCGAGAAGGAGACGTTTGTGATCTTTGACGAAGCTCGCTCGCGAGGATCGGACATGAAGCTACTACCGGATGCTGCTGCTGTACTGACGCTTGGACCGAAACTTACCAAAGACAAACTAATGCAAGGCGCAGGACGAATGCGGCAGCTGGGATGCAACCAAACGCTTTGGATTGCAAGTTTTGATGAGGTTGCGCAGAACATACTTCAGACCAGTGGCCAACGAGATGTCGCGCGTGTTTCTGCAATTGATGTGCTGAATTGGGTCATGGATAACACGAAAGCGGAGGCTGTGCGCGGGTTGCTCGAGTGGGCAGGCAATGGTATACATTTCCGAGAGACCCAGCTAAGCCAAGACAAAGAGTTGGTTGACGAGAACTGGTCCTTAGAGACACTGTATCAAGAGAAGCTTCATGCAGACAAAATTGCTGATATCATCGGCTTAATGGCTCGGTTACATTTTGAAAATGTTAACGACGCGTTGGTCTCTCAAATCTGCAGCAGAGGTTATGAGTACGGGCTTGATGACGAAGTGTGTTGTACCTTGCACAGCGGTGAACATGAGCGAGAGCTGCATGGGAAGGAGGAAAGGCAACAAGAAGTAGAAATTGAGATGGCTATATTGAAGCCTATGAAGGAGAAAACCTGGGACTACTCTGAAATTTTACGGGTTCGGTCGGCGGAGGATCTCAGCCGCGTAGTACAAGTGATAAGAGTAGAAAGCTACATTCGGCAAAGGATCTTTCCGGCTAATTTGGTGAACCTGGCTTGGACGAGTACGCACATTTTTGGGACGGAAAATTTCTTTGCAACGATCGTAGCGAGGGAAGGAGACTTGGATCGTATGAACGAGTTCTTACGCGTGATCGATGTCATGCTGATATTTGACAATGGTCAAGTGCTGATGGTGTCAGAGTGCGAGGCAGATCATATTCTTGAGCTTGTATGGTCAAACAATTTTAGGTCGACAGGCAATTCTGTCGACTTGCCATTTTGCTTCGTGAACTTTGCCTTCGCTTGTGAGAGTATTGATCGCACCGGAGCGTTCACCAAAATTCACAACGTCCAAATGGCACTTGGCTCCAGACTGAATCAAGATCTTCCACTATTGTCAACTACAGCTTGCCATCTATATAATGGCGAAACCATGTTCGCGAAACACCAGCAAAGTGTCGTGGAGCCCGTGTTGCGTGGTTTGCTTCGCTCGGGTACCCAGCGAGAGGCAATGCTCAGCAACTTTGTGGAATCACGAGGCAATGGCCACAAGTGGACACGCTCGTTCCTGCACGAACTTTGCCGTCGCATGGATCTGGAAGACTGCAATTGGTAAAGTTCGAGTCGACTACGAGTTTAGTATTTGGCCGACAAAGCTCCATCTATCTATCTAGCTAGCTAGCATATGCTTCTTGCTTCCCTTTTCTGGGTCGTAACCTTTAGCTGTGCATGGGCATCGATTCACCCGTCAACATCGACTCACCACACACCGTCTACTAATAGTGATGAGGTAAATGACATTCTGTACCTGCGGATGGTGCATGATATAAAGGGAGTTTACTTGCGTTGCTATTTCATTCATCCTGTTTGAAAGGGTCATTGTGCTTGTTGTGCACCGTTTTGTGGTCTCAGTAAGGCAAGTAGTAGCGCCGACAAAAGCGTCAATCTAACAAGGCAGTGTGACTACGAATCAAGTGGATCATTGGTATGGATGGATGGATGGATCGATCGATCGATCGATCGAGACGCAGCAATTGCGTCGGCATTGCATCACTAATGATAGACGATCGGTATCAGACCTCAAAGCGTGCATGGCATGCTCGATGTGGTAAGAATAAGCAGCACATTTACGTAAGTCGTGACGATGGCATGCTACTTGGAGGTATTTTGGTGACTTCATTAGGTTGTTTAGCTGGAGTATAGTGAAACCAAGCTCGAGTTCACTGATTTTCAATTTTTCGACGAAAATTTGTGCTAGTGTGGCCAACACTGTTTCGAGTGGACGACACTAACAGCTGCAGGGGGGATCAGAAAACAATAGGCTACAGAAGAACTTTCTAGGGTGCTATTTCACGGCTCAAATATTGGCTAGGACCATCTGTAGGATTTTATCGAAGCCATTATACTTTTAAGCAACAAGGTAGTGTAGCTAGAGTATACTGAAACCAAGCTACCGCTCGATTTTCGACAAAATGGTGTGCTGGTGTGGCCAACACCTGTATAGAGTGGACGACACTAACAGCTGTTGGGGGGATCAGAAAGAATTTTCCAGGGGTGGGTCTTCTTCCTCCTTAAATTTATTCATTCGTAGGGTTTTATTATAAGAGCTATTATACTTATACTTTGCCACTTACTTCCTCTATGACAGACTCTTGTACAGGTGGCTACCTAATTACCTTAGTAGATAGCCACCTACCTGTACCTACCTACTTACCTATTATAAATCTATCCACATCAAGCTAGTAAAAACAATAATCAAACTATCAACCACTCTATATATGAGACGATGCTGCACAAGTCTCCAATAACATAATGAAAAGTCTTACGTAACTAGCTGAAAGATACTTCCCATTACACTTAGAAGCTTTTAAAAATCTAGTAATTCATGTCTCTATACTTGGACTTTTGTCAACCTCTTTGCTCATTTGTCCTATCCAGAAGACGCTACATAAAACCGTAACCGATGAAAGCGTATGATCTCATTATCTTTTGCCATCAGATGGTTTCATTCATTTAACAATTTGCATTCTCTTGTTCATTAGAAAGAATTCCATTGAGTTTATCTGCTCTAACTTGTACATGATGCGTGAAATCTCATTACTCATATCAATCTTGATACTATTAGAAACACTCGTACCTTTAAATGTAAATGCTGCTGCAGCTAACCAAATGGATTTTGCTGCGTGTCCTGTGAAACATAAGCCAGAATACTATTGCTGTGAAATATCGGATACAAACAAGGAACTCTATACTAAATACAATCGTCCATTTGGTGGTGCCTATGAATCGTACTATGTCGATGGATGGAGTAAACAACGTCAAGTGAATTTCCCATACACCATGTATCACCCAAGTACTCAAAAGTTCGATTACAATGAACCCGAAACGGTCTGTCGAATTCAAGCGATTGTTAACTCGAAAACAACGGGTGAGTTGATCGAAGACTTGCAATGTGCCGACACGAACTCGTCACTGGCTGCTGCTTCCCAGAACAATACCGTCTTTTGGACATATGCCACCAATTCACGTAACAATAACGCGTCGTTTCCAATTGGTGCCAATTGCTACAGCCTCATGTTGAGTGATGGTACAGTTAACGCTGATCTGAAAGATGCGTGCACGTCCATTTCAACAGCCTCGAAACCTCGATTTTCAACATTCAGAGAGGGCCCACTGGTCATCATTTACCTTTTGTATCTTGGCTTCTTTGTGGTGCTTGGAGCTTGGGCGGCCTACAAGAATTTCAAGCAAAATGCCAACAAGTCGGTAAATGAGATGACCAAGAAACTCCTTGCCACGCCACAGTCACTTTCGAAGGCTATTACTGGTAGTACCAATAGTATCAACGCCGGTGTTGGAGTCTCGGAATCACGATTGCAAGTGGAAGCTGCCGAAGACGTTCTTCAAACGGGTTTCTCCAATTCCTTGCTGGGATCCTTTGTGTTTGGTTGTGTCATTGTGGCATCACTTGCTTTGAATGTGCTCTTAATTATCGTCATCTTGGATTCCTATGGCAATTTTGAACCTCCACTCTTTGACCAAACGGAGGATAATGCACTCGTGTTTGTTATCGTGTGGGTCGTCACCTCCATTTGGTTCGTAGTCATTGTGGCACTGCAAAACAGCATTCTCAACTTCTTTCGTCTTCGTGTATCACTCGATCAGTGTGATTTCGTCTACATGCTCAAGCGCGACGAGACGGAAGTTCTGCTTGCAGATCGATCGGGTGTGTCGGATTTTGTGGCCAAGGTCGAAAACTTGTTTACGTCAAAGGGGAAGCTTAGCGGCTATCGCACCACAGTACCCGTGAGGAAGGTGAATAGTCTACGGATCGTAGAGTTCCAGCACATGCGTTACATTTACGAGGAGACGGAACAGCGCTTTATGCCCGGTTTCGTTGCACTTGGACGGACGTACGACGACTTGAATCGAGAGGCTCGCGGTTTGTCGGACAAAGAGGCCCAGCACCGCATTAACACGGTAGGGCCAAATTCTGTCGATGTTGAGATGCCATCTCTTCTGGTTTCCATGGCCCATGAGTTCTTCACGCTGTTTTACGTTTACCAGATCATGTGCTACTACGTATGGTACTACTTTACGTACTGGAACATGGGTATTGTTATGACGATCGTGGTGCTGGGAGCCGCTGTGGTGAACATTTACACGCAGCGTCAGATCCAGTCTTCTATTGTCACGATGACCCGTTACTGCACGGACGTGATGGTGTTCCGCGGTGGTGAGTGGCGCACAATGCCATCGCCCGATCTTGCTCCGGGTGATCTCGTGAAGGTACCGGAAGACTGGATATCGCCGTGTGATATGGCCATCGTTAAGGGCACAACGGTTTGTGATGAGTCGATGTTGACGGGTGAATCGATGCCCGTGCAGAAGTTCCCGATCCCGGAGCACAGCTCGGAGATTTACGACCCCGAGAAAGGAAGCAAGAAGCACACGTTGTTTTCCGGCACCCGCGTCCTGTCTTCGGGTCGCAATGAGGAGATTCTGGCTATCGTGCAGACCACGGGTGCGCACACAACTAAGGGTCAATTGATCCAGTCGATCTTGTTCCCGATCCCCATGCGCTTCAAGTACAATGAGCACCTCAAGGTTCTGATCACGCTTCTGCTCATCTACGCTAGCATTGCGTGCGTCCTTGTGATCAGCTTTCTCCTGGGCAACGGTAAGCTCAGCAACCGGTACGCTGCGTTCTGCTACGCCTCCTTCGTGCTGTCCTGTGTCGTCAGCCCGCTGCTCCCTGTTGTTATCACGGTTGGACAAGTGAATGCCTCTAAGCGACTCGAAAAGCAAGGCATCTTCTCGCTTAACGTACAGCGTATTACCCTCTGTGGCAAGGTTCGCGTTTTCTGCTTTGACAAGACTGGCACACTTACGAAACAAGGCCTCGACTTCCTCGGCGTTCAACCCGTGAAGAATTCCAGGTTCATCCCCCTGGTGAACGACGTGAAAGAGGCCTCGTCGTCTGAAGAGTTGTTGTACGCGTTAACGACGTGCCACTCGGTGGGTTCACTTGAAGGTCTTCTCGTCGGTAACGAAGTGGAGGTGCGTATGTTCACGTCCACGGGCTGGGAGCTCATGGAGAAGGAAGGCGAGCAGCCGTTCGTGAGGTCTAAGGTAGACCCGGGGCTTGAGCTCGAGTTCATCAAGCGCTATGACTTTGACCACCACCGCATGTCCATGAGTGTAGTGGTGCGCAACCGGAAGAGCGGCAAGTACTATGTGTTTTGCAAGGGCTCGTACGAGCGCATGCAGCAGCTGAGCACGTCTGCTAGCGTGCCTGGTGACTACAAGAGCGTTGCCGACCGCCTCGCAAAGGATGGGTGCTACGTGCTGGGTCTGTCGTACCGCGAGCTACCTAGCGATTGGACGCAAGAGCAGGTGGAACAGTTCGCCAACAACCGTGACGCTGTGGATGAGAGTTTGTCATTGCTTGGCTTGATCTTGTTCCGTAATGAACTGAAGGAAGACACGGCCGACGCCATCGCAAAGCTCAAGGGTGGTGACATCCGCACGGTCATGATCACGGGCGATAATGCTATGTGCGGCTGCTACATCTCGCGTCAGAGTGGCATGGTATCGTCAACCTCGCGCGTGATTTTGGGCGAGATGGTGTCGACGCCGAAGATGAAGAAGCTGATATGGCGCGATGTAGACTCGGAGGAGGAGTACGACTTGCTTGGGGTGAAGCACCTGATCGAGCAGACCGAGGACGTGGAGTTGGCTGTGACGGGTGTGGCGTTCGACTACCTGGTGGCTATGGGCGACATCAAGGAGCTGTTGCTGAAAATTCGCATCTTTAGTCGCATGACGCCTGACGGCAAGGTAGAGTGCGTGAAGTTGCACATGGAGACGGGAGCGGTAACTGGGATGTGCGGTGATGGTGGCAACGACTGCGGTGCGTTACGTTTCGCTCACGCTGGTGTCGCTCTCAGTGATGCAGAGGCATCGGTGGTGTCGCCGTTCACGAGCAAGGACAAGACGATTCAGTCCGTGGTTGATTTGTGCCGTGAAGGCCGCTGCAGTGTGGCAACATCTTTCGCGTCCGTGAAGTTCCTTATCATGTATGGCCTCATTGGCTCGGTGCTTCGAATGTTCATGTATTACCACGCCATCAACCTATCGCAGTGGTGTTGGATTTTAGTGGAGGGTTTCATGCTGGTCGGATGCTCATATGTCATTACGCTATCAAAGCCACTGGATGAATTGAAGGCTTCTCGCCCAACATCTAGTCTTATCGGACCGACAACGTTGATATCCATCCTCGGACAGGAGGCCATCAACCTCATCTTTTTGAGCTGCAACATTCACATGCTGTCGAGTCAAGTCTGGTACTGCCCGTTTTCGCCTGACAATGTGGATGTTGCAAAATGGTGGCTGATGTCGGACAACCACTTGGCAACGGTGCTCTTTTTCTCGGTTATTTTCCAGCAACACATTGCAGCTTGGGTTTTCAGCTTTGGCTCACGGTACCGCCAAGCGATTTGGCGCAACCACCTGCTCCTCGTATTCTTCGCGGCGGTTGGAGCACTTGATCTGTACTTGCTTTTCGGTGAACCAAGTATCGTCACAGATCGCTTCCGAATTTCGAGCAGCACGAATGTTGTTGGATTACCTGACATCCCGATGCCTATGGGTTTCAGATGGAAATTCATTGCCATGATTGTGGGCAATATCTTCTCGTGCATCCTCTTCGAGTACATTGTTGTGCTCGGCCCTGTACGTTCGTACTTCCGCAACAAGTATCACACCGACTTGATACCAATGAAGAAGTAAAGTGTCAGGATAATAGTGACGAATAATCCTATGAACCCATGTGCTTCCTATATGCTAAACATTGTCCACATTAGGTAAAACTTGCTTTCTATATGGCTTCACATTGTGCACAGTAGGTAAAACTTCCATGCGTGATTCTTCCAAGTAATCACCTGCTAATCGCCACCGTATACTCGTTGCTCATATTTGACTCTCGATGATATTTCTACATATACATCATCAGTTATGGCGTGGAATGCAGACTTTATCAAACCGGATCCGTCACACCTGGGGTCGTACAAGTATCAAACCGATCAACTTTGTCTCGTAAAGACTCGTAAAAAAGTTTGTAGTACCATTTGCTGTCAATATCAAACTTTTGAATCAGAGAGGATTCTCGTTTTGCTGCCTCGTCGTACAGATCCGCAGCGTCAAGAAACTTCATCTTCTCGATATTCTCGTAACTTTGACCCGTCATCTCTTGAAATTTGCGTATGCGAAAGTCGCGAATCAACTTTCCCACCATGATACCATCAGGAGATTTTACTGTTTCGCTGTCAACGACGTTCGCATCCAGTTCCGGATCTGAAGTCATGCTTCGGCGATTCCAGTTGGCAGAGCCGTCTGACAAATAAACGTCGTCGATGACTACCAGCTTACTGTGAAGGTAAATGTCCAAGTCGGGCTTCATCGAGTACACTCTGAACTTGTTCGGGAACTTTTCCTTTATAGGCTGGATATTCTCGTACATGTACTTCTCGAATCCACCACATTTACTCATAAGCTCCGGTGGCTGTACGACAACAATAAGACGCTGAAGACCTGGCATGACCTTCATTAGAGCATCCAGTAGCTCCGGTACCACGATAAAATATTGATCCTCGATGTAGATAAAGTTCTTGGCGTTCTGAATGGCCTTGATACGTGAATGAAAGAGCGACTTTTCACCATTTGGGGCAAACTCCCACTTCTTGTACTTACAGCTGTAAGTTCGCACAATCTGTACATTGTGGCTGCCAAGTTTGGAGGTAGTGTTACTACTGCTGTAGTCAAGTGATGGCAGGGAGGGGTATGGCGGGTTTTCAAATTGAACAAGGTCGTCAATCAAGTCTTGTGACGGTAAATAAGGTGAGTTCCAGCGAGCAAGAAAATTATTAGCCACATCCTTTGCGGCCGGGCCGTGGATGCGTAAACTACTGTCGACCCATCCCTTGTTGCGAAAAGAAATCCCAGCCTCGTCTCGAATCGCAGATGCGTTATGATAAATAGTATCCCATCGGTCATTTGTGATATCAATGCCTCCCACGTACGCAACTGGCTGATCGTCAGCATCAGAAGATGTACCTTTAGCAATTACAAGTGTCTTTTGGTGTTGTGATGATAAGGTATGAGGAAGACGGTCGTCGAAAATGAACAGTGCATTCCCATCATTTAGACCGGACGTTGGAAGCTCGTTAATTTTGTTTCGTACGTTAATGTCCTGGTAGAAGAGATACTTGTTTGCCCATCCCAATATCTTGACATCTCCTCCACGTTTGACAACGTCACCAAAGACAATATCAAAATTTGTCTTTGCACCAGTTGGATCAACCTCAGGTTTCAAAGGAATGAGATCGGTATTCCAAGCAGCAAGTAGAACCCGATCATTTTCTTTGGTTGTTCGAAGATCGTCATAGACGGAATCAAAAAATTCCTTTGTGACGGTAAACGTTGTGACGGAATTGCCAGTACTATAAGTGACCATCTCATTACGAGGGACTCCACCACGAGATGCAGTAATCTCTTCTTCTGTAAGGAACCAGTCAATGGCTTTTAAAAGAGGTTGTTTTAGTCTATTACTAACCCATTTGTCATTGAAGGATGTCCTCGTGATTGAAGTGGACGTGTCATTACTATTGGATGTAAAGGACCAAGCACTAGATAGTGATAGAACTAAAGCCAAGACGTAGAGTAGATTTATGATCATTTTCACTTTTAATACGTTGACGTCTCGGTCTTGGCCATTCAATTTGATTATGAGATGGAGTGTACTACTGTATGTCGATATGCCTTTTTTTGTTACCATCAACATGACGAACTTCCTTGAACTAACTGATATAGATTTCTATAGTCAGCGTCTGGTCTGATCAGTCAAGACCTAAACGTTTCTAATTGATACACCTGGTCTGATTCGCTGAAATGCAGAGAAAAGACAGTGTTTCTACTCGCGTGTCAGTGATGTCGCCCACACCACCAAGTCATTTCTAATGTCGTTTTACAAAACGTACCCCCGTCGGATTAGAAACATACCCTCTTCTACATGTCACTCTTTTGAAACAGTCTTCATCGACTTGGAACCATTCATTTTCGTGCATCAATCGGCTTAAATTCTTCGTCATGAGCTTGACATTTCTATCTCGTTGTGCTCGTCCATCATCATTACGTCTACTTTGTCATCTAAGTACATACAAACCAGACATTGAAGCTGTCAAAAAGTTACGTGCCCAGTCCCAGGCGCCACTTAAAGACGTGCGCAATGCATTAGTAGCGACGGAAGGCGATTTTCCAGCCGCAGTTGAATGGTTGCGTAAAAAGGGTATTGCTTCAGCTAATAAGAAGGTTGGACGTCATACGGCCGAGGGTCTCGTAGGTGTCCAAGTCTCTGAATGTGGTCGAGCTGCTGCTATGGTCGAGGTTAATAGTGAGACGGATTTTGTAGCCATGAATAAAACCTTTCAAGCACTTGTCAAGACCGTCGCATGTGCATTGGCAACGCCATCCATAGCTTCAGATATTGTCACGCAACTGTCGTCTGACAAATTGGCGCTTGTAGAAGTGGACGGGGTTACTGTGGCTCAAAAGGTACCGGAATTAGTCGGTGTGGTTGGTGAAAATGTTGTGGCCAATCGTGCCGTGCAATTCCAGCTTGAGGAAGGGACAATCTGTAGCTATGTGCACAATGTCGCTACATCTGGTCTTGGACGTGCTGGTGCACTGGTGGCACTGCAGTTTCCGAACAAGACGGTCTCAACCGAGCAGATGGACGGTGTCAAGGAGCTAGGCCATCGTCTGGCCATGCACGTTGTGGCTGCCAAGCCACGTTTTTTGTCACGTGAGACTGTTACTGACGAGCTGGTGGAGAAGGAACGTGCATATCTGGCGGACCAGGTTAAGGACTCGGGCAAGCCGCCGCATATTGTGGCCAAGATGACGGAGGGCCGTTTGAACAAATTCTTTGGCGAAATTACGCTGCTGGAACAAGAGCATTTCATTGAAGAAGGCAACCCCAAGGTCGGCGTCTTTGTGGCGGAGCAGGCTGCAAAGCTGGGTGTGGACGTGTCTGTGGTGGCATACGAGCGCTTCGAGGTCGGTGAGAGTAAGGAAGAGTAGACGCAAGCAGAATGCGCAGATTCTAGAGACTACGCGAGATTGGAGGTCGAGTTGTATATTCGTCGGTTAGTTTAGCAGCCAAGAGTGAAAGATGCGTACGCTGACGCGCAGTAGAGAACAAATTTAGACCGCTTTCCTCAATCTACGCAAGATCGTGTTGGCCGATGACAACCCATTGATGCTACCTGTCGTTGTTGTTGTTTTGCGCTTACGCTTTAAGGTAATTTGCTTTATATTGTCGTTTCACACGGCGTGAGACGTGAGGAGATAGGGATGTAGAATGGCTCAGCACGGATACTTCTTAGTACATAAAGACAGGATTGTCCACTGTAATGATGCGCGTCTCCTTCTCCAGGGCCTCACGTACGATCTTTGACAGGCCAAAGAGGCCCATGTGACTCACACCGTCGAGGAACTTGAGCGGCTTGTTAATCCGGGTCTCCACGAGGTTGTTGGTCGTAGCGATGCTGCGCTCACGGATGGCCGTCACAGCGGCGTCACCGTCTCCATCCTCAACATTGGTAGCCATGTTGAAGGCCCAGACACAGCCAAACGACGGAATATCCACCGAATAGGGCACGACCGTATTAAAGGTGGTCTTGAGGGTGCAGTAGATGGACGAGAAGCATTCGTTCCAGTTGTACACAGCGCCAGGGCCCGACTGGGTGACCATGTAGCCGCCCTTGTTGAGCTTAGTAAGGGCGTACTTGTAAAATTCCTCTGTGTACAGCACGTAGCCTGGACCAGCCTCAATGGGGTCAGCAATGTCCATAATGATGACATCGAACGTGCCGTCGTATTGCTTGAGGAAGGCGTGCGCGTCTGTGTAGTGCACCTCGAGACGCGGGTCCTCAAAGGCACCGTCGGACCACTCGGGCATCTCCTTACGGCACATATTGCACACCAACTCGTCAATGTCGACCATCACAACTTTCTCGACCGACTTGTACTTGAGTACCTCACGGGCTGTGGCAAATTCACCGCCACCGCCAATGTAGACAGTCTTGGGGTTTGGGTGAGCCAGCAATGCCGGGTGGACGAGAGTCTCATGGTAAATGGCTTCATCATTCTTAGCCGATTGTGTCTTCCCATCGAGCACAAGCGTCTTGCCAAATGAATGCGTCTCAATGATCTGCATGGTCTGGAATTTTGACTTGGCCTCGAACGTAATGGTCTTGAGTGCAGCTGTCAAGTACAAGTCCTCTGTAAGAGACTCTTTGTACCAGAACGACTTTTCCATTGGAGCCAACTCTTCCTGCTCCGTCGCAATCGCTTCTTTCTTGTCCGTCATGATTAAATGTGTCTCTATGATCCTACTGATTCACGTTTGCAGAGGTTGTTACTCAATAGCTCAAAGGATCGGTCTCATTGATCACCAGCCAACCACTAGCTAGGGGTAGGAGGATGATAAATAGATTTACACAAGTTATATGATATAAAAGGTCTATGTACAAAGTGTTAAGGGGAGCCCTGGTATTCCTAACTAGAGAGATAAGGTGTACTATGCATCGCTTCGAGGAGCTCTTGGTGCTATTTGTACAGGACCAGCAAAGAGCGTACTAATTTTCCTCAATACAGCGGCCGCATCTTTGATTTGTGAAGGCTCCGCTATGGTCAAATGAATAGGTATCTTAGGGTACTAGATAGGAACTAGGGACATAGTTGACGCAAATTGGGCTTTACGGATTCGAAACGTCAGAAAGTGTCTAGTCACCTACCTATACACACCACGAGGTATGGGTAGAATAAGACTCGTCTTCATCGACGTCGCAATATGCACTCAAAATCTTAAGCATACGATGAAGTAGCTTTGCTACTCGTATGCGTGGGCAGCGTGGACATTCATTGTCAACCGGCACTGCACAGCCGTCGTAGACCCGACAAAAGATGTCTCCTGGGGTACTAAAATGGCTGCGGACTTTTCAGAATCTTGTACACTATAACGGTAAATCGAGAGTCTGTCTCACACAAGTACAAAGGGTTGCAATAACTGCTCTCCAATATGTGACCAAGTACCTGTGTGGGTAGAATACAAAAAAACTCGAGGTCTCTAACTATCCAACTTGACCAACCAGGACCCAAGGTTTTGCCGGGAACACCTTCACTTTTGAACGAAGCTTTGCTCTTATTAGCAAAAGCAGCATGATGAGTATAAACACCATGACGTTGAAAGATGGGAACGGGTTTCGTAGCTGAGATCCGCACCCAACTTTCTTGCGGATGAAGAATAGTCCCAAGTATCGGGATGAAAATGCTCGTCTGAATGACGAATAAGACCTGCTCATCACAAAAGCACAGCAAAGTGGAACTTTAAGCTAACATCGTGTGCATCATTTTGTGGACTAGCGAGCGAAAGCGTCGCTGAAGCAGGTTTGCTGCTGCTCCTCCTCCTCTGCTTCCATCAATGAAATTGCGAAGCGCGTGAACTGGACATTGGTTGAAGGTGCGCTGTATGCTCGAACATGCCGGTCTGTCCAATCAGCACAAGGGTGAAGCGATAATACCTTCGACATTCCTACACAACCGCTCTTGACTTGACTCGAGCAATTGGTCACACTTGACGCCCAATTGGTGTTTTGTGACTTTTCCTCGGCTACTTTCATGAGAAAGCGTATTGGCTCGAGAAACTCTCGAGCGGTCCGATTATCGTTCACTCAAGACGTGCAGATGACGAAATACACGTTTAATAGCGGCAAGTACGAGTAGTATCTAAGTTGTGACGATTGCGACCTTTCGTGTGAATTGTAATCCTTTTTAAGTCACCCGTCCAAACCGATCAATACTTGCTCTTGTAGAGGATATTATCAGATGGATCCGCCACATGTCACAGCTTGTCACTGTCGTCTGTCGTGAGGGATGACACGAATTCGATATTGAAGCATCGCAACGGTACAGCGCTAACTAAAACATCAGTCATGTATGATCGAAAATAAGAGACACAGGGGCACAATCGAGCCAAGATTACAAGTAGGGTTTCAAAATGTAGCCATATTAAGGATTCAGATGTAATAAAGGTTGTATCAACCAGTTAACATCACGTAACGTCAGTTATATTTCATTTTTTTTAACTTTTTCGCAATAATGAGTAACGACATAATCAAGCCCAAGCGATGGTTCCCGCTAGAATCGAATCCAGAGGTCATGAACGCATACGTAAAGAAAATGGGATTTCCTACAAGCCAGTTCAGCTTCTGCGATGTATTGAGCACCGAAGAATGGGCACTGGAGATGGTACCGACGCCAGTGGTGGCAGTCATTATGCTTTTCCCTATAAAACCTCACGTAAGATCGTTAAAACATTAAAACAAATTTAACAATAGTAATTAAAGTAATTAAACAACTGGCATGAAATTGTTGGTATCGTGTTCTAACTGCAGACAGAAGAGGCAGACAAGCAAGAGGCTATCAGGATTGAACAGAATGGACAAACAGTCTCTCCTAACGTCTACTATATGCGCCAGACCGTTGGTGCGAAAAGTTGGTGCTACAACTCGTTACAATGGTAAAAATTGCTCATTGTTTTTATTTTATCGGTTTTACCTATTTTAGGCAATGCATGCGGCACGGTGGGTATCTTACATGCCATTGGCAATATACGTCACATTGTCCAACTTGGTAAGTTTTTTTCAGCTTTCAACTAGTATTAATGATGGAAAACATAACACTGATGTGGTTGGGTTTCTTGTGTATATTGGGTTGTAGCTTCTGGAAGTTACTTGGACAAGTTCTTTAACAAGACCAAGACCAAGACACCAGAAGAGATTGCGCAGTACCTTGAGGAAGACGACGAGGTGGAGAAAGAGCCTACTTGAAGGTCACTTTATAGCTTCTGCTGATTGTATAACGTTTTGTTGATATCGTTAATTGCAGCTGGAGGAAACTCACGGTAGTGCTGCGGAAGCTGGTCAGTCGGAAGTAAGCACGACGTGTCACAGTCTTGTTTTTTTGTGTGTGAGCTATGAATTCATTTTGTCTTTCTTGCAGCAAATGGAAAGCGTGGATGACCCAATCAACACGCACTTTATCTGCTTCAGGTCAGTACGTGATTACAATTTGCACTTGTTGTCTTCATCAAGCACGACCTAAAAAAACGTCCATTGTAGCTGTGTGGATGGCAACTTATACGAGCTTGATGGCCGAAAGAAACGTCCTATCAACCACGGACCCTCCAGTCCAGACACTGTTCTGCAGGTACATGTTTCAGTCCGTATTTACTACCACCTCCCAGTTCCTGCAACTCCGTGTTCATTTGTCGTTCGTTAATGTTTTTTCTCTTTTCAGGATGCGTGCCAGATCATTAAGAAATTCATGGCCCGAGACGAGGGCGAGATGCGATTTACGATCCTGGCTCTGGCGAAGACAGAGACATACTAACACGCTACTTGGGCCATAGCAAAAGGCTACGAAAGACTGTAAGGTGCTGGTATGCCATCTCGAAAAGGAGTACGCAGCACCGACCATTACGGTGTTGCTTTCGTGAATGGTCTTTAGCCAACACTAATGACGACGTTGTTTGCTCAATTGTAGCAAATGGATACGCTCTGCAGTTGTTATTTGTTTGAATCTTTTGCGTCAATACGTGTGGCTGTTTATGCTGACACACTTACCGCTGTGCTTGATGTGGTAGCAGCAACATGTTCCATCGACTTGTACGTTCTTCAATGAGCCATCGTGTTTTTGGCAGCTTCAATGTTAACACATGCTTTGATGTACCCACCCTACAGTCGCTGGGTGTATGGGCTGGTTGAGACTTAAAAAGATTGCAATGTGCAGGAGCAGACAGTCTCATCACTCTTTTGACGAGTTGTATTCTAGCAAGACAACAGCATTCGAGAAGGACCAAATAGAACGAGCCGATGCGTTACTTCAATTTCAACATGTTCACTACTTTTCTGGTACGCTGGCGCCATGAGGTACATGATATACTTGCGCTTTCCAACTGCACAATTCCTTGTACTCGACCCGCGTTCTAAGAGGCCATCGCGACTCTCTCAACCCATTAACCTTCATCCATTTAGTTTCCTTTTGCTATGACAAGCAAGCACAACACGCATTTTTGTAATGGTTTCTCAAATCCCATAGTGCGTCAATAGCCAGCAAGTGTATCGTGTTTCACAGATCTCGTGACTTATCAAACATTCGATAGAGATGAAGGCCGCCCAACGAAGCTAAACCCATCGAAGTCATTCGGACGGTCGGTCTTTCCCATCATCACACTTGGTGCGCGATCGCGCGCAGTAATATCGTTCATGTTGCGAGGTGCATAATGTGTATCCATCTTGCCAACACCCGGGTTAAACGGCGGTTGCATTTTGCGCTCCAGCAGCTCCGGCCAGTCAATGACATCAAAGAACGGGTGCGTCAACACTTCGTCGGCACCGCGCGGGCCACTACCAAGACGCATCATCGGATCGCGCGTTAACAGCTGTAATCATCAATGCAATAGCAAAACGGTACGTTAGTGGTATGCAATGTGAAAAAAAATAAGCAGCACGGTAACCTACTCCATTGATGAGCGAAATTGCAGCGTCCGAAAAGCTGGGCGAGAAAGTAACCCAGTCCTGCTTCAAAATAGTTTGAAACATAATGTCACGGTTGCGGTGGTAGTAAGGTGGCTTTCCTCCTATCATTTCGTACAGCAGAATGCCGAACGACCACCAGTCAGCAGCCTTGCCATAAGTCCTGCCTTTCAGTAACTCAGGTGCAATATATGCAGCTGTGCCGCAAAATGTTGTCGCACCCTTCAGGCCAGAGACGCCAACCTTAGACAGGCCAAAGTCGGTGATACGCACATGACCGTCATGGTCCATCAACACATTTTCCAACTTTGCGTCACGGTAAATGATGTTGGCGCTGTGAAGATGTGCAATGGCAGCGGCAACTTCGGCGGCGTAGAATCGAGCCCACTCCTCTGGAAATTTACGACGGCGACGCAGATGTGTAGCCAGCGACCCGCCGCTAAGGTAATCCATCACGAGGTACAGCTTTGATTCACTCTGGAAAGCGTAGTGAAGCTTGACAACAAACGGATGCGAAATATCCGTCAAGATCTTACGTTCAGCCATCGTCGTGTTGACGAGGCCCGACGATACAACTTGTTGCTTCTTCAACACTTTCATAGCGTAATGCTCGCCTTGCCGTGGTGGTGTAACTTTGCGGCACAAAAACACCTTTCCGAAACCCCCTGGCCAACAACTTTCATCAACTCGAAGTCCTTGTCGGAGACTTGTGTGCGCTGCTGCTTATCACTACTCGAGCCACTAGAGCCGGAATTACGCTTGGGCTTCGGCACTGGTTTCGGAAGATAGTACGTAGCCTTGATCTTGCTATCATCATCAGTGTCATTACCACTGGTTTTGTTTCCGTTCTTGCCTTCGGACACATCGCTCGACCGATCACCATCCGTTTCGCCAATCACAATTATGTTAGACTGCCTCCGCGCACGACTAGCAGGCTTTGAAACTGTCTTCAGTCTTCTCAGTTCCGATCGAACATGCTTGACAACGGCGGTCATGCCAGCTTGGCTCGGATTGGCGCCAATAAATGCAAACGCAGGATCCTCAGCCTTCTCCAGTGTCTTCGGCGTGTTGTCTGCTTCTTGAGATGGCATGAAGCCCAAGGACAGGCACACACAATTCACGCGTGCTTGAGAATCCACGATCTGAGCACCAAGAGGCTCGTACGACGCCTCCCAGTTTATTGATCTACGACCAAGAAGTTCCAAGATGCCAGGGGATTCGCTGTGATCAATTTCGTGCTTCGACTCAATCAGCGCAACGCGGTGGATCTTTTCACGCGCGCTCAGCTCGTACGTCTTCAAAATAGACTTCACAAGCGCACCACCGCGAGCGTACGCGATGATGGATACTTGGCCCTTGCACTTCGTAATAAACTGATCCCATACAAAAAGAACATGTTCTTTAGGTGAAGAAGAGCTTGGAATCGGAACCTCGCGCTCAAAACCTCCCGCCTCATACACGACAGCCGTATTGGAAAACGGGTTACACACCACAATTCCAAAGCCCTCTTCTTGAGCACGGGTGAAGTACGGCGTCATAGACCACTTGTGCTCGATTGTCAGCTTTGCGCTCTCCGGGTCCTGCTTCCAAAGGCCAAGGGGGCCTGAATCCGACAAGAACAAAATGACTTTCTTCGCTGTTGTGTACGCCATCGAGCTATAGAATCGGCAGCGTACAGGAGATTCAGCCGATGGCACAAACTGAGGCGTGAAGTTTAGCTCCCTCTCCATAAAGTTGTAAATATCTTTTTTGTCAGTGCGCTCGCTCATCCGGATCGATGGATTTACAGGATGCTTGAGTTTCGGTGGCTCTTCGGGTTCATCAAAGGCAGAAATACCACGAGTGTCCAGCTCCAACGAGTCGGCAGAACTCTTGCGTTCGTGACCTTCGGCTTCGTCGGCAGTTTTTTTGTCCTCATCCGTATCTGAGTTAACTGGCTTATTCTCATCCTTGTTGTACGCGTCGGAGGGCGGCTGCGTCGGTAGCTCTGTGTCATCTCCACTCTCATCACTACTCGACTCCATTGCTAGCATTGCAATTGTTTTGCGGCGACCCATACCAGCCATGAGTAAACCTGCTGAAGAACGTGATGAAGTGCGAACAGGCACGGGAGAAGGCTTTGGCTCCGCCTTAGACTCTTCTTCAGAGTCACTAAATGAGGTGAAGCTGTTCCTTTTACGCTCGGGCTCTACAATGCCGAAGTTAGGCTTCAGCGTTTCCTTCTTAGCCTTCGGTGGATTTGGCGAAGCTGCCTCTCGTGATGGTGCTTCTTTTCGAGAGGTGTGTGGTGACAAGGTCGGAGATTCCGCATCACTGCTGGACTCTTCGACTGGTCGTCGCACTGGTAAAGAAGGTGTCGAATTTGCGTCGTACAAAGCAACCTTGGCATCTTCGTCGTCCGGGTCCACATACGCTGGAGACAATTTCCTATCGGCTTTCGTTTCGCTAAGAGCGTCCGCGATGTCCTGATCAAACTTAGCTGAAGTATTGTTGTCGTCAGGCTGCTCCCGTGCCTGCTGTAAAGAAACTCTCGCCACACGGTTAGAGTATTCCCTTTCACCTACGTCGATGCCGTCCGGCGTCTGCATCACAGCAAGCAGCAGTGTTCTAGCACCCTCAGATAGCGCTTCAAGCTCATCAAACGGCGTCGTTTCGTCATCTATGTCGTCACGCCCATCGATGTCGTCATCTTCCTCGCCATTCATAGACTTTGCACGTGCAGAACTATCACCCAAGGTGGTTCCGCGTAAATTAAAGCCACAAGCTCCGCAGAAGCGAGAGCCAGTAAGAACTGCGTTGCAGTTTACGCACCGCTTCTTTTCGATTTCTGGTTCCTCTTCCACAACATTCAGCTTGTTCAACGCGGTCATCCACTTGTTGCGCTCGCGATCGTTGTCGGCGTACACGTAGTATGGCACCTGCTCATTAGTCATGAACATGAAACCAAATGGTTCACCATCCCACTTTTGCACGTCCTCAACCAAAACTTCAGCTAAGGGTTTACCCTTCGTATTGTTTGCCATGTCATAATCAGAATAGTACGAGATCGAATTTCCACGCAGAATGAAATAGCGCTTCTTCCAGCTTTTACGCTTGTGGCCCTGCTTCGTCAGATACCCGGCACATGATACCGGCTCTGGAACACTGGCTGTCGACTTTCTCACCGTTGCCAGCCACTTCTGCTGCTCACCAAGAGTGTCCGCAATCACGTAAAACACATTGCCGGTGCCTGTCATGAACATAAGGCCATTTGCCTCGCCGTCCCACGGCGAAACAGATCGTATTTCTACGTCTGCCATCGCTAATTGATTTTCACGGTATGCCTGTTGATCCGCATAATGGCGCAGCGACGTTCCGTTCAACACATAGTACGCCATCCGCTGGCTCGGGACCAAGTGGCCACGTTTCGTAAGGTATCCTTCACAGCTCACTTCTTCAGTCTCCACCATGAAATCCTTTAACGCACGTAGCCATCTCGAGCGCTCAGACTCGGACGATGCGTACACGTAATAAGGGATCTGCTTTGTAGTGTAGAACATAAATCCGTGTGCTTCGCCCGACCACGTGGCCACTTTCTCGACCGTCACGGCGCCGTATTTCTTGCCCTTTTCTTCGCTCGAATAATACTCCAGCACGTTGCCACGCAGAGTAAAGTATCGTGTCTTCCAGTTCGTAAACAAGTGTCCTCGCTTAGTAAGATATCCTTCGCACTTAATCTCGGTAGGAGTTCCCTCCGGAACCGTCATGCGCGAATCCTTCTCACCACGCGTAAGCATGAACGTCTCACGACTGAAGATGCTGCGTCTTGAAACGGAGCGACGGCTGTTCACTGACACTGTCTGACTAAAGTCAATACCACCACCAAAACCGGTCGAGGTAGTAGGAGTATAGCTACTGACAGGATTGAAGCTATTGGCGGTCGTCGTGGCTGCATAGGGCACCACCGTGTTACTGAACTGCTGGTTGACTCCGTAAGACGTCGACTTGGGACCGAGTGAGTGGCCCAAGTGCCCGTTACTCTCGTTCTGATCATTCATAGCGTCTAGATTTGGATTAGAAAGGGGACGAGGCATTCCGTTCAACGTGCTTTCGTCGCTATGCGGTGCTGCAGAGAGATGTGGCGGATGTTGTGGAGGTGGCGGTGGCGGTGGCCGGGTAAACATGCTGCTGCGAGACGAGGTACGCGGCATACGGCCTACACTCTGCGTGGCACGCAGCGACGGTGTATTTATTTCCGTCGAGGCTGAGGATGAAGAAAGACGGACGGACTCACGTAGTGCGTACGACGTAGGCGACGTCACCAGGATGTCCTCGTCGACATACTGCTCTTGATTACGCGGAGACTGATCGGCACTCATTGCAGCATTGACCTGTGGGGTGAGACGAGGTTTCTAAAGTTGCACATGACCATACAAATATCAACATACGGTTAAATAACATCACTCAGTGCGGAATGTCCCTGTCTCTTCAATCACGCGCGTTGAAGTGACCTTCACTCTCACTCCACAACGAAAAGGAAAGCGCGGGCTTGAAGATGGAGCAACCAAGCCATAATCATTCTCACTATGAGTCGATTGCCGCCTTTCCTTTGGTGGAGGAGGATGCGACGTAACACGTGGGCGACTGCTTACCTGCTGCTGCTGCTGAGGCTGCTACTGCTGAGTTCGTTTTCTTGTCGTCTAACGCGAACCTGCGTGTGTTTATCTTGCAGCGTGTATCGGAATAAATGAGTCGCGCCTTGCTTGCTTGCTCGCTCGCTCCTTCTCTGCTTGCGTGGCCGCCTTCCTCGTTGTTTGTCCGTAAAAAATCCTCCCTCTGTTAGGTTGCGATAACGTTGCGCGAACACTTGAAGTAGCAACTCAAGTACGACTAGCTCACCACTCAACACTTTTGATATCCGTCAGATTCAAATTTGCCATAAGTTACAAAGCAAACTTTACTTGACCATTTTATTAAGAGCGAGGAATGGACAGAAAACTGCTACAAGATGCACGAAAGATGCACGAAAGATGCACGTCAAGTCATATTACGAAAAGATATGTCTCTGCTAATTGTAGTGGAATTGCTTCGCAACAACATCTTTTAGGTAAATGTAACGTTGCGTTGCTTGACAGCAGACGCTACTGATGCGGGGAGAGTTTCTTGTGCAACAATCTCGGATGTTTGGACGTCTGGCTATCTACATTCACACCGAACTCGATAAAGAAGAGCTTGTTATATATATAGTCCTATGCTATAATCTCTGGATGATACGTTATCACGGGGTAATGACGTTCTGAAGTGTAACGTTACTGTTTCGTTGACAAACTCAACGCATTGGAATGTTGTTGCTGCAATCAGGAGAGCCTCAGCAACGACACGATAGCAGATAAATGGCAGAACCCAAAGCATGTATTTGAGTGCACAGGTGACCCCCAAGTGGTTATATAACAGCAACAGCGAGGGGGTGCGAGTGATTGATTTGAAGTCCCTACGCCAGCGATGAATGCGAGGGAATTCATCTTCAAAGCAGCTCGATGTGGCAATGCCAGGCGTAAGCGATCCAGCGTCAAGTGCGTGAAGCTGATTAATAGTCTGCACTGTGTCAAAAAGTATCGCCTGCTCATGCTGTTTTGCCCGCGTTGCCGTTGACACTATCGGTGGGGAAGCCTCTAGGTGGCAAGTTAGGTATGGGTGTACTAGTAGCGCGATAACCGTCGAGCTTGCCGGGCATAAGAAAGCTAATGGGCGGCAAGCGCATCGTTCCTGCAGGTGGCGGCGCTAGACCTCCTCCTAGACCGTTGGGCACGCCTCCTGCAGCATGCTGCGCGTTCCTGAAAGCATCCGACGCATCCTGGTTGTAACCGAATCGACTTAGCGGCGAGACTGAGGATCCACTGGGAAAGGCTGCCTCCAGTGACGTGATGGAGTGGAGGCTATGCCGACGAGTACTATCGCTGCCGACACCAATACTACCGAGCTTGACGCGCCGAGCGACACTGACCATGCGATGCTTGCGGTCGCTTTTACGCTGATGCTCGTTCTGACGATCCCGGTGGAAGTGGCATAGGGTATGCAGTTGCCCGTTGCGTTTGGTCGCGCGGGGGTTGGAGCACTTGCCGGACTTGTATTTGCAGAGTAGCTGCTGCTGCTGCTCACTACAAGGGGAGGAGAAGCCGTCGTCCTGGATGCTCATGAGATGGTGGCTGCGCTTCAGGCGGCGCTGGCGGTAGAGTTCACTGCCTCGGTCGGCACTGTCTGGCTGCAATCCTGTGTCAAGCTGCTCGCGATCTGAAGAGTTGTGCATACACGCGCGTACTATGAATGTGAAAAAGTCCTTCACTGCTGTTGTTGCTGCTAGTGCGGAGCGATGTCAGACGAGTAGACAACAGAGCACTGAATAAGGTCGCGTTCCGAATGAAAAATGAGCTGATGTCGGGCAAAAAATGAAGTGAGCACTAATGTCCTTCTGCTCTCCAACCGCTAAGCGTGAAAGTGGCAAGTGCGTTGCAGCAAGTGGCAAGTGCATACTCCAGCGGCTGGGCAGCTGAACAGAAAACGCTTGGGGATTTGGTGCAGAGACCGAGCGGTCTACAAAAGTCCGGAAAGCAGCGGAAAGGTTTACGAAACGGTCGACAAGTCAACCTGCACTGCAACCAACGTGCAAGTTCTCCATGAGTTGCTGCTCTCACTGCTCTATACCAGGCTTGCAGCGGCCTCGCTCCTCTCGCGTATAAGCTTTTTCGTGTGTCTCCAAGGAAAAAAGTGCAGAACTCACCGCTGCTTTGATGTCGCAGTCTCTGCTGCAGCCTTTACGTCATGGTTGCCGAGAAGTCGTGTATAAACATGAATGGGGCAGCACCTGAGGCTGAAACTCATCACTCTTTTGGCTTTGCATTGGGGTAGGAGCAACGGTAACACTTGAATCCGACTTGAGCCGACATTACCCGCCAGAGACCGCTAGAAAATCCAAGAAGCTTAGCGACCGTGGTTCATTGTTACGTAGTACAAGTCGGTCGGACTGCAGAAGCTTAGCCGCTGCCTGGTACCTCGCTGTATTGTTTCGCCTCCGATGGACACTCCATTGCTGGTGCAGTGGGATCGCCATCTGGCTCCATATCTTCAAAGCTCAAGTGGGAGGAAACGGTCCACCTATTAACCTGATGTTTGTATTACTTTTTATGGTCGTTCGGAATAAGTTTGCCGTGTCGATCGATTCCGAGCCGTTTACGAGGTTTCATTCGCGCCCGAGCAAACGACAGACGGACTGTTGCTTCCGGGCAAGGCTCCTCGCAGCTTGTGATTCGCAGATCATTGATGGCTACTGTTGGTGGCTCATTCTGCTCCACAAATTGCAGACTGCCAAATAGCGACACTTTCCCGTTGCTCGATGTCGTCCATATGTGCGGATGGGTTTGTATGCGTTTCTAATAAAGATGAAAAGAGCCTTCGTGCATAACGCAGAGGACGACTTGGACATGCACCAACTGGCGTCTTCTGCCGCTTTCACTGCCCACGTCAACTGTGACTTATATATGCTTCATAAAGCCGACCTGGTTTGGTCACTTTTTCTATGATATGAGTTCGCTACCAACGTGGCGTATGTGACGCGATCCCTCCATGCTCGGCGCCTCACGCGCAGCATTTTTGCTGGACGTTATCTTATGACACAACACGACGTGATATATAGTCCGCCCTTGCCTCAGCAGCGTAATGACTTGCCTCCATGCGATGTTGCTGTCTTGCTACTCTAATGAAACGCCAGAAGAAGAAGAAGACTCGGAGAACGTTGTCATCGTCATCTCGTCTTGTGAGTCGGTCGATAGTCACCAATGTAACGCTTTTACAAGTGTAAATATAGCGCAATCAAAGGTGACATGTATAAGAAGAGAGCACATATGGTCTGTCGTTTATCTACAGCTGGTGGTAGGACTCATTGAAGCGAGCGTTTTTTGCTGCAGAACTCCGCAGTTACCCAGAACATCGTCTCAGATCGTCTTAGCGATATCCTGGATAAGATTGGAGCTCTAGGACAGTCCGACGTTGTCACGTTGTCACGTTGTCGTGATGGCTTAAGCTATAACCGTCTAGACTAGATAGCCGGAGAAGTTGTGCCTCAGTTGCTGTGCAACGCAGAAAGTTGAGCGTGAAGAATACAGCAGGATAACGAGTACATATTTTGCGGATGGTGGAGTGTCGAGATGCCGGAACGGCGCGGGGACAATTGTGTCGATATTTCCATCGTTGTGATGTGCAACGTACAGGTGCCGGGCATGGTACCCTTTCACTTTGGTATCACAAACGCGTGCACTGCCCAGCGCTATCAGATGCACGTCCTCCCCGTGTCCCCAGAATTCGGGCTGCTTCTGAGGTCGCTTTGATCCAGTGCAATCGTGGCGTGGGATGTCCGTTCTCCGTTATGGCGTAATGCACAACGGATGGCTGCAGCCCTTCAAGTCACTTCTCGCGCACAAAAAATCGAGCGTCATTGTATAATAGTGATGCCTATTCTTCTGGCTGTCTTTCCTCGCCAAGGGTGTCCCCATCATTCTTGACGGTCAGAAAAGCACAGGCAATCAGCTAAAATGGTTTGCCCCTTTGCCATCCAAGGGCTAAGCTTTTGTCGTGCCATGACAACATAATACTCCGTTTTGCGCCACATTTACGTGTACATGTGGGGAGCAACGTGTAAACATTGTTCAGTCAACTCTTGGCTATGGTGGTGAAGCAAGCGGGCAACTCTAGGCTTCGATACAAGGTCTACGAGCTGGAGGCCGTCGGTATTGATTCTCAAAGCGAGCACAAAGCAGCTTCAGATCATTGGATTTTCTATCCTTCTCAGGCACGACAGTGTTGAGTAGATTTTGCCACCTGTGTCGCAGCCCGCAATCATTTCTGTATTACCCTTACTATAATACCAGCTAGCTAATGCAGAGGGGTACCGTAGCATTCGTGCTGCGGCAGGAATGCCGGCTAAAGTAAGCTGGGTGACCAAAGCTGTTAATATCTCAGCTCTGGTTAAGCACGAAGCAGAGCGATTTTCTAACATAAATGAGGCATCAAGTTTTTCCGTCGCGCGTAACGTCCGAGTGCTGTACTTAACGCCTGTGTCGAAGGCGTTCCTTGATATGTCAATATCTCTTTAGCCGTTGCTTTCTCGGCTGTATCGTTGGAACTGTTTCGACGGCACAGGTAACCGCCGATGCTGTAGGACAGCTCTTTGACGTCAAAAATAAATGCCTTCGACATCGCCGTATTTGCGTATAAAGCTACTGGCGACCAGATCGAGTTTCCCTACTAAACATGGTTTCGAGCTCACTATTTTTACTTGTGTTCATTATAAAGTGAGGTTCCAATATTCATTTTCATGAACAAGAACATCTTGGCTCGCATCACTGACGTGCTGTATGTATACTTGAGAATGACGAGGCTTTGACAAGCTAGTTTCCTATTGGTCATAATGCTCTTGGGTTTTCCCGTTTAAAACGATCGTGAGTCAGTTTCAAATCGTCATGCTAGTCGAGACGCGGCGATGGCAGCGCTCGCTGTCGCTCATGACGTTCAACCTGCTTGCGCCGTGCTATTTCCGACACGGTGGTCGAGTTGAGAGTGAAGACAAGACGTCCTTTCTCGCTCGTGCACAGGCTGCCATCCAAGCCATTAAGCACGAGCAATGTGACATTGTTTGTTTACAGGAATTTTGGTTCAATCGCGAGTACCAGCGGGCGTTCCAAGAGGCTTTTCAGCCGACACATTATTTACACACAGCAAAAAGACCGGGGAATAAGGAAGATGGACTGGCTATGTTTGTGGACAAACGTAAGTTTGAATTGCATTATGTGGAAAATGTGGATCTGGTGGAAGACGCTGGCGATCGCGTGGCGCTTCTGATGCACGTGGCTACTAAATGGAACCGCAATACTGCGCGTCTCTCACAGCGGTCCTTTATTGTGGTCAACTCGCACTTGACGTTTCCACATACGCACATGTATGCGAGTTTACGACTTAATCAAATTGACCGCGTACTTGCTGCCGTCCGGAAATACGTTGCCCGCCAGAAACTACAAGATGTACCTGTGCTGCTTTGTGGAGACTTTAATGACTACGACGACCCTGTGTACAGACTCGTGACGAAAAATGGTTTTGCGAGCATGTTTGCTCATCTGCACGGCCGAGAAGCCAGGATCACGCACTGCAACCACAACAATAGAGAGGTGGGCGTCGACTTTATCTTTGGAGCTCGAATCCAGACTCCAGTAGCTGATCCAGAGACTCTTACCACGTCGACACTACGACGACACGCAGACTTAACGCTTAGCGACGACGATCAGCCCGAGATTAACGAGTCGAGACTACAGTTGGAGCCTGTGGACTGCCATCTTGTACCTAAGCGACTACCCGACGTGGTGAGGCTGAAGCGGCCGCAGTTTGGACACGACTGGCTTCATGTAAAAGCCCCCTTGCTACTTAGTGATGAGAAGGAGCTCGTGGATTACTGGCGGATGGTGTCGGATCATCGACCGCTGGTAGCGACGTTCAGTATGAGGCACGGGGACAGCAGCGGAGCGAAGACAAAGGTTTCGTCAATAGATAATGTGCAAGCGCTGACGGCCGAGATGAAGGCGAGGGTGGAAGATACCATCCCGATAGATATAGCGACCGACGGCCTCACTCCGTAAAGGCAGTTTGCGGTAAGTTAAAGCAACTACAATTCGTTTTTGTCGATTCCTCACCTTGTCAGTGTTACGACGTACGGATCCATCGCCTGTGTGGTGCAGACCGCGAGGTAAGTAAGTTATGTCAGACTTCTGCCTTTTGAATGCCTACTGTTTCAAGCGAAGGAAGCTCGAGCGCGCAACACTACTGCGAGCGTAGGCAAAGCTGTGGTGATAAGTGGCTGGACCAGTGGCACCAAGCCGGTCTGCTGACGTACGCAATAAGTGCTGCCAGAACGGACGGTTAAGTGCAGATTTCTGTTGTTCAAGATCGACCACACCATCTTTTGAGTGCATCGTTGCTGGTTCTTCTTCTATCGTGACTGTTCTGCCGCGGTTTCAGCCGTTGAGATCATGAGATGGTGTTGCCTTATACGCGGAGCAGCAAGAAAGTACAAGCTGCGTGGTGTTCTACGTACACATGTTGTGTAGCAAGGTTGAAGCCATTCTTTGTTGCAGGGCATCTTGCTCTCTCGCTCGCACGCAACAGTAAAAGTGCAGCTTGTCCAGCACCACCGGATCAAATTGTACTTACGTCTGCATGCACGTTTACAACCTTCAAAGGTCCTATCCAAAAGAAAACGCCCGTCGTTTGAGCATTGTGTCGCTTAGGACCACGCGTGCACTCGGCGGGCTAAATGATGCCTGCCGTCAAACGCGAAAGGCATAGCTTACATAGGTTCCGACTGGTGGTGTCAAAAGTATAAGTCGACCCGGATTAGGCATTACTCGCGTCTTAGCGAAAGAAAGCCTCGTCGAGTCACGAGCCGGTGAGTCTCCTTTAAGGGCAACGTAAACCTTCTAGTTTGGCGTAAACTGCGCCCGGTGACCTGTAAAAGCAAGAGAACGGCGTCCACCCATTGGTGTGAGGTCACAGGATTTGAGTGGAACGGAAACTGCTGAGCTCAGGCAGGCTTCTGGAAAATTGGTTGCGGCCACTCAGCTAAGGCGAAAGCCACAACTGAACTTGAAGGGACGAGCCATGAAGGGATTTATTCTAGACATACTAGCTCAATTGCGCCAACTTACACAGGAATTGTTGTTTTTTCATTGACAGTCATACCGATAGACGTTTCTGACAATCACAATATCATAACTGATGCCGCGATCCATGAGTTCAGAAGTAATTTTAGCAGAAAATAAGCAACCAAGTAAGGCAAGATGGTCAGCGAATCGAGAAACGCGAGAGACGCCACCGCGCCCACGGCCGGAAGGTTGTCGCACGCAGGATTGGAGTCAGGGAGAGCGAACCAAACCTCCATGGACGCGAGAATGCTTCGACAATTCCGATACGAGATACAACTCCTATTACGCACTTTTGCAAGTTAGTATAATTGGTCGTCACCCATAGTCTGCAACACAGCGTCTAAATGACGCTTGTGCGACTCTTTCGCGCTCAGACCGTCCTACACTCTACTATGCACGAATACATCTTCAAAGTAATGGGGCGCGTAGGCACGGTGCTGACGCATCACGTGAGCCACCACTCGGTTAAATGTTGCCGCAGCATTTTCAACCCTTGTGGCATCACAAGCCACTCCCAAAGCATACCGCTTGGGGTGCTTACTGCCGTTTTGGCTACATCGGTATCTCTCATGAGAACCTGATAGTAGCCATCCTTTAGATCCAACGCGTAAAATATAGTTGACTTTCCCAGGGAATTCAACAAAACATCTTTCCGCGGGATCGGCGTTTGAGCCGGAATGGTGGCCCTGGTCAGATTATTATAAGCATGAACTACGCGCCATCCACCTGTTGCTCTACGCACATCGAAGATCGGGCTGCAGTGAAGCGACATGCGCTCACGTACATGTCCCGCCTTGGCTCGCTTGTCGAAGAACTCATCGATGTAATCGACTTGTTCCTTCGGCAACGATCATTGCCTACTTGGTGCCAGGCTCCAGATCAATCTTGTAACAGGGCTAAAACGTACCGTCACTAGCTCACATGTGCGTCTGAGGAAGACTCAAGCCCATGTATAGGGTCTTAAGCAGAGTTTACTCTAATTTATTTTGTTTTCATTCGTACTAATAACGGATATTTTTAAGTTGTAATATATACGACAGCGTTCCCGTCTTTTGGAAACCACACATTTTCAGGTTAATTTATTATTAGTACATATTGGGTCTTTAGGCCTCAATAATAAACCAATAATATAATGTCACGCCGTGCCCGCTAAATCGGGCACAGCACCTGCCTACAAATGTAATTGTTTATTTCTGTTAATGCTATATATGCGAGTGTGGCCCATTACATCACCCCCTTCTCAAGATAGCACTCACCAACAGTGAGTGCTCAACTGTCTAAACTCCAAAGCCCACACACGAACAATCGATGTTCGAACACACGGCTCCCAGCACTGCAGCAATTCCAAGCACCATCAGCGGGAGTGCAACCACCAACATCATGGCGCAACAATTCATTCTTGGGCGCTGTATATCTTTTTACAGCGCCCAAGGGTTACAGTCTTCTCAGGCGGAAAAGACTGTAAATGAGACCCGGTTTTCGAACCATGAACTGCTCGAAAGGATTAGAGTTCGGTAGCGACAGGTCCTTGGTCGTGCACAGACGGCAACGCAACCGCGCCCGATTTCATCAGCTCGTCGAGCACGACGGGAAGGCCGATCGACCTATGGATCCGGCATCGGAGCCGTGCAATATTCCTTTAGTCGCCCGACGTAAAACGTCGGGTGGAGTCGCAATGATGAGGCAACATCGAGTGTGTAAGCGCCGCCGATTGCTATCAGAGCCTTGAATGGACCGATGAAGCGTGGCGCGAGTGAACTCGCGCCACGCTTCGTAATCGCTGAACTCCGTAGACCCTCTGTAAAGGATAATACACGATCTCCTTTCTCAAACTTGCTCATGGTCTTTCTGCCATGTTAGTCAGCGTTCTCTTTCTGCTGGTCTACTGCAACATGTTTTAGTGGGTACGAAACTGGATTCGAACATGCAAACTTTGCAAGCTTGTGAAGCCATTTTCATCGTCGAAGGCCCCCCTGCGACCGTTGCCGATTGCAGCCGAGAACTGGCGGTCCGTTTCGATGGACTTCATCTTCGGGCTCGCGTCCTATAGTCAAGGCCGTACGGGTATCCCTAATTTATTGACAGATTCAGCAACATGACACATCATGTGCCTGTTCACGCTAAGATCACCGCGGAAGAGATCGCGGTGCACTGCATTGACGCGGTGTTCCATCATCATGGCCTGCCAGAAAGTATTGTTTCGGACCTTGATCCGCGATTCACATCCGCAATTTTGGACGTCACTGTCAAGCTTCTCGGGACAAAATTGAAGATGTCGACAGCGGTCCATCCGGAATCGGATGGGTAAACTGAGCGCATTAAGTGGGTCCTCAAAGATGTTTTTGAAGTTAAGCTGCTTCATTCACAAGCTCACTGTCAAGCTTCTCGGGACAAAATTGAAGATGTCGACAGCGGTCCATCCGGAATCGGATGGGTAAACTGAGCGCATTAAGTGGGTCCTCAAAGATGTTCTTTGAAGTTAAGCTGCTTCATTCACAAGCTCGAGTGCATTCTTATCACGCGCTGAGTTTGCACTCAAGAAAAGCGTACATGCTTCAACAGAGATGATGTCATTTTTTGTTAATTCGACTCGTCACCCTCGAGTTCCTACTCTTCTTACCGTGGGGCGATCCACGGCACCTACTGGCTCCACTCTAAAGGGGGATTAAAGGTGATAAACAAGGATGGAGTGCAGCTCACGTATTGTGAGCACGAATGTAGTAACTCGATCGAAGGCAAAGACCGCTGCTTCGACGCCACGTGACTGGAGTCCCCTTTAGCTCGATGGACTGCGCAGATATTAATTGACCCGTCTTCGGGTAATCGTTCGCCTACTGGCAACTACGCGCTGACTGAGTCGGTGCGACCAATTTAGACATGACTGTGTCAGAGTTTATACTTCAACTCAAAGGTATTAACCGGTTTGTACGCGACGCACTACAGTCTGTGGGGCCAGAAGAAGTCTCGAGACACAGCCGCAAAAGTCTTTTCGCGGCTGAAATGATCGCCAGCATGGGCATCGTGATACTCGTGAATGATTCTTGCACGCAAATCCATGTCATTGGCAATCACCGTGCGAGGAGAATCGAATTGGTCGATGCTATACAGAAGCAAATCGCCGTCTAAACTGTTTCGATGAATGTGTTCGCGCTTGGTTCGGGATAATGCTCCCAGTGCAGCATCGCTGGGAGCACGCAGATACTCGATAATGTCTGCGTAATCTGAATCACCCTTGTACGCTGCGACGATCTCATCAAATAAACACGGCTCGGGTGTAACCCGAGTTGAGCTCAGCGATACAAACATTGCACATCGGTCATCATCGTCCTCGTCATCAGTAGCCTGACGACTCAGAGCAGTCCGAGGATCGTAATCGGGACGTCGTGATAAGGCATCAGCGATAATATTAGTCTTGCCTGGCTTGTGATGCACGACGAAGTTGTACTCAGAGAGGAATGAGAGACATCGTGCCATCCGTTGGGACAGATGTGGGCTTTTCATCGCTGTTCGCAGCGATGCATGATCGGTTTACAAAGCAAATGTACGTTCACCAAGCAGATGCACGCGAAACTTGATGAGTGCATAGCGCATCGCTAATAACTCCTTGTCGTGAACCGGATAATTCTTCTCAGCTGGCTTCATTTGTCGCGACTGATAACTCACGACTCGTTCACGGCCCTCATCATCAAATTGCATGAGGGCACAACGAATTGCGAAATCACTGGCATCGCAAACCACGTGGAACGGCTTGGAGTCGTCTGGTAGGACCAGCACTGGCGCTGACGCCATGCTCTTCTTCACTGCTTCGAAGGCTGCTTGGTGCTCGGGACGCCACAACCACGTGGCGTCTTTCTTCAAGAGTGAAGACAAAGGCTGGATAGAACCAGCATAGTTCTTCGTATACTTGTGCAAATAAATAGCCAAGCCGAGCCACTGGC